GGAAAAAGTAAGCCCTGGTCAACTTTTACCCTTTCCCATCCGGCTTTCTAACACGCCCGAGGACCATCATTCTTTCCTTTGCTTTCGAATTGCGAAGGAGAGGGTTCTGGAGCAGCAGCAGGAGAGCTGCAGGTGAAGGAAGGTTTTCTTCTGGAGAGACTTCCTGTGCTGCGGCGCTTGGCTGGGGAATTATTTCTATATATATGATCTAACTAGCCCTTACAGGCCTGGGATTGGCGTGATTGACATTCCGCGAGGGGAAGGCTTTGAATTCAAGTATCTTGCAGCAGGGGGTTTAGTATAGACCGCGCATTCATTTTCCGCAGGTCTGGGAGTAATCTCTATCCGGTATATTTTGTCCGTGCCTTCGTGTTTACGGCCTAGTGGGTGCAAATGCGATACCTCCTTGAATTCTTATTCATGGGGACTCACTCGGCCACCCCCATCTTCCGGAGCAAGCGTTTGTATCGTCCCTCTTCCCCGGAGTAGAGTGATAGCCGTCTCTCTTCCTATACAAGGCTCTGTGGATGCAGAGTTTTTGCTCCCTAGGCTGTGAGGTAGAGCATGCAAATGGAATATAATAGTATCGTCCACCACCCAGACAAGACACTCGGTAACTGGACACCGCTCAGTTCTTGAGGAGTTGGCGGTCTGCGCAGAAAAAAAAACAAAAAACCACTCGTGCCTCGTGCATCCACAACACGGTGTGGAACCAAATTTCTGGGGAGCTGGTAACCCTATGTTTGATGGAGCACCGCCGACCATAGCTCGAACGGCGAGTATCTGCAGCGCATGGCACTTTATCGCTTTGCGACATTATTACGCAACAAGCCTAACTATAGGGTGCATTCCAATTTTGGAGGAAGCCGGTTAGAGCGGATGGCGAGGAGAAAGAGGAGAAGAGGCGGGGGACAGGAGTGGCCGAACGCTTGTGCCGCTCCTTGTGAAATAAGGGCCGGTGGGGGGCTGTGAGAGTGCTTTTGGAACTGAACGATATCAATACCGGATCTCCCGGACTTTATCCTCGTGACCAGAACCGACGTCTCCCTCCCTTATACACTATACCAGGCTTCCGTGTTCATTGGTGTCTTTTCACACTTTCTTTCCCATGCCTGCACCTTCTAATTGTTCTTTGGCTCTCCTTGTGTCTACCATCACTTGCCCTTTTATGGCTTTGTTGACACCGCCCGGGTGATGGCTGCAAGTAGAGGGCGAGGCGGAGCATCGATAGCACCGGATACGAGCATGCATGCCCGAGTGTTTTGTTCCAAGATGGTACACAGATCATTGCCTTTTATTTTCTTGCTCTTCTAGAGGTGCTTGCCCCCCCCCCCTCCATCTATTGTAATATTTCTAATTATGGGGTCTTAATTCTGTCATGTAATTTTCCTGAGGGTGGAATGGATGTACAAGTGGAAAATTTTGCCGTTTATGTATCACCCATTCTATATGAGCACCATTCTGCAACAGCCCGTTAGTGCCAGGTAATCTCTACTACACCTAGGCGTCCACGGCGGCGCGAGGAACCAGAGTCAGCACGGAAAATAGCGGCTATCGGAAGGAGTTTGCATCACCGTTGCTGAGGAGCTCCAAGTCTAGAGACATCCAGGGCTGTATTTACAATTGTTCAAGAGGCAGTAACATGCATCAAAAGGAGGGTGCTTGACGGGAAGGGCATCTTAGGCATGGCTTACGTCCGAATATCGTCTGTCAAGCATGGTTCAGCTAGCCCGCTGGTAGCTCATGGAACCCCAGCCTTGTTGAGACCTTGACCCGGTGCTCGCGTCATGAAACCAAAATCAACCGTCGAAGCCCTGCAGAGTGGTGCTTTATTTGCTGTTAGAGGCCCAACCCGGAGGATGGCTTAGTGAAGGGAAGAAGCTTCCCAGTGGAGTTTCCACTAGTGTCCCCCTCCCGGTAGGGCTGTCAAATCTTGTGGTTGACATCTTTCTTACGAGACGGGAGCTCGCTGGCTGTTTTTTTTATATTTATTTCCGCATTAGCAATATCACCAGCCCGACTCTCTCTCGCATATCTATATCGCACATAGGTAAGCAAGTAAGAGGTTCAAAAACATGTAACTTTATAGCCAGGTGAATTTATTCTAGTCCTGCATCTTGCCTGGACTCCTTGCGAGTGCGATTACGTGACGCTTGCTTTCCAGGAATCGGAGTTCAATATGATCTATTGAGAGGTAATGGCACCACCAACCTTGTATATGACCTAAATGGAATGGCAGAGGGGTGAGAAAACCCTCATCCATCGCCTACCCCGTACGATAGACAATATCATACACCCAGAAAGCGCCACCGCCCAGGCAAGAGCAAGTTGCCGACCAGAATGCGAGCCAACAGAAAAAAAAAAAATCAGGATCAAAACCAAAACCGCTATGATATCATACCAAAGGGCTCCAGGGTGCCCATAAGGCAAAATTCGGTCCCGGATCACAAGAATTTTTTCTCTAGATTTGTTAGATGCACCCTATAACCACGTTTGCTCCCCCCCATATCCATTCGTCCTAAGGGGAGTGAGTGCCTGACAAACATGGCCATGATTTCAGAAAGTGATTTCACGATTTGAAACAGCACGCTTGATCAATCCCCCAGAACCGGTTCTCTCTAAAACAGAAAATTTGGAATTGTGCCCCCTGCTAAATTCCTACCTTCCAAATCTTGTTTTAGCTTAAATTGGAATTAGTGACTGTTCCCCCCACCCGGCTTTTAATGTATTTTGACTTGTTAGGTCGACTTGGCCAACTCATTCTTGATACGCCGTACAATACCAATCTCGGGAAAACCAGGTAATGAAGTGTCGCATTAGCTTCTCTATGACACTGGTAACGTTAGCATGATACTCCTCACACAGCCCTAAATCGGGGGATTTCCAGACAGGAAAAAAAGATCAAGCACTGAATCGAATCACGTTTTCAGATCGCTGTTTGAAATCATAATCTTGCTTGACAAACGCCCCACCTGGGACATCCACTGCTGCTGGAACCGACCGTACGAAGCGGGGGGGGGGGGGAAGACTTGAACATAGGTGAGTGATACCTCATGAAGATGCAAGGTGATGTGAGGGTTTCGGTTCTGGCTTTGTTACGATGTCGGGATGTGTCGTAGTCTGATGTTATAGGATCCAACTTATGTCTCCTCACAAGGTATCACATGTCTATGATAGCTTCTCTCCCACATCTACGACAATCCGTCGTCCGTTTCAAGCGCAGTTTCATACATGGGGTAACGTGGGGTCCAGCTTTGAATGCGTTCTCAGCCCACTGGGAACCTCAAAAAGTCAAAATATCGCGAAAAAAAAAACCCCCTGATAGCTCGCAGGATTCATTCATTACCTACCCCCCCCCCTTCCAGAAACGCCCCCAATGCCTAGCCCTTTTGGCATGAAATGGCTGGACAGGATACGATGGTGTAAAGTGTTGTATCTCATCGTATATTCTCCTACCCCACGCACCATCCCCATCGGCGCTGTTCCATGCGGTATGCGTCAGTATTTACGAAACAGTGGACCAGTGGGTTGGGAGAATGAGTTGGGGGAGATGGATAGTGAAAGTAGCTTCTATCGCCCGCCGCCGGACACAAAAAAAAGAAAAAAAAATAGCGAGTAACTATGCGAGTTTTCGATAGACTCTGGGCATCTAAATGTGCAGCGGCTGTTACCTGTCCACAGTGTGGCAGTGAACACACCAAGCAGCCAAACTGCCATGGGAAGCAATCTCGAATTTAAATCTGCGGAATTTATATGATACAGTATATTGGGTGGCAAGAGTTGGAAACTCAAGGATTAACTTCATGGGGACCTTATTCCTATGACACGACGGTTGGCCATTGTGAGCATCCCCCGTGTGCAATTCATAGCCGGATAGCAGATGGAGATGTCAGGTCCTGACCAGGCGAGTTATTGTTCATGGTACTAGCCAACAGGGCCGTGTTATTGTGATACTTTCTTATGGAATCAAAGTTTTAACTCGGGTGTTTTCTCTGCACAACACATGACCTAGGTATCAGCCGCTCTGATAATATTATTATATCTCCCGCCGTTGCTACAGCAATAGTAGCAAAACAACCCAAATATGCTAGCTTGCTATCACCCATACCGAGTGACACTCCCTGATCCAACTTGGCTTTGCCAAACACTTTGATACCCAACGCTCGTAATCACTCCTAAGCGTAGTTATCAACAGCAAAAAAAAAAAAAAAACTCTCCATTCCTCACAGGATCTACTATAACAATAATACTCATCCACCCCCCACTCATCTACGGATCTCCACTTCCGCTTCCACCCCCAGCAACGCCTTAGCCCGTCATCTGCAATGAAAGAGGAAGGTAAAAAAAAAAAAAAAAAAGGAAAATGACCATTTAAAACTCCGTTAACCCATTTTCACGCTGAAAGCCTTCCTCCACCCAAAATCAAGTAGGGGAAAGGAAAAAAAAGTAAAAAGGATGAAGCCAACTCCTTGACACTTACACATCTCCTTATGCATAGGTGTCCGTGATGATGAGAAAAGAGCACAATCGTAAAATCCCTTATTTCTATCGGCGTTTGCCCCGTCTGGAAAATTTCCGGGAGAAAAAGCGGGAGGGGGTGGATGAGATGTTATGGATATCCATCAACGTAGGTAAAGATAAAGTAAAAGATGCACACATATGGCATGAGCGCGGTACAAAATTTAGGTCAGGACCTGGAATCCCTACAAGCACGGAAAGGCATACAGTGGATTTGAAAGAATCGTCATTCAGTTCAAATCGGATCAAAAAAGAAAAAAAGAAAAAAAAAACAAGGAAAAAAAACATGAATGGCAAACAAAGGTAAACCGGTCTGTAGTTCCTAGATTTCCTCCAAAACATCTCGCTCCCGCCTTTAACCAGTTATGACCAGAGGCTCTTTTGAGTGAGGAAGAAAAAGAAGCCCACTTGTAATCCAAACTCCAAAGATACAAGACAAACGCCGAACCCTTTCATACCTATTCCCACAAATCATACAGTGTTCATTTCGTGTCTTCGCCCTCTGGCGGTGCTTGCTGTGATTGGCTCTGGGGCGGTGGGGGAGGAGGAGCATGCTGGCCACCTTGATGTTGTTGCGGATGCCCATAACCATTGCCTCTACCCCCGGGCGGGAAATGGGGTCCGTGGAAAAAGGATGGCGGGGGAGCACCCTGGTGGTGAGAGTGTGGCTGCCCACGTATCATACCAACTGATCCATCGTTAGAATATGCATTGTATACCGGACCAGAAGGCATCATCATAATCGGCGCCATATACGCTGCGCTACTACCACCACTATGGTCCTGCCTTCGGCCACGCCCCACCCCGGCGCCCATAGGGGCATTTCCCGTCTGACTCCGTTGGAGAGCGTATGACGACAAGCCCGAGCCACTCGCCGAAGGGGTGGTATATGTAGCCAAAGGAGATGCGAGAAGTGGAGTAGCAGAAGCGGGTTGGGGAGACAAGTGTAAATTGCGCATGCGGGGGGATGGAGCAACAGGGGAGGCAGCACGGCTAAAAGCAAACTTGGCCACCGGCGTAGAAGGGACAGGAGGAAGGGAGACAGTAGATTGAGGACGCGGGGGCAACCAACTTGGGCCATGGAGGAGTAACTCACTTTGTTGCTGTCCTTGCCCTGCATACATCGGGGCTCCTTGTGCTGGCTGGAGAGTATATTGCATCATTTGCGGGCCAGCAGGCGTCCCTTGCTGAGATCCTTGGTGCATCATCATCGGAGCGCCTCTGCCAGGACTTGGATATCCTTGAGAGCTGGGGGGGGGCGGAGGTTGCTGGGGAGAGAAAGGATATGGATGGGGGAAAAATTGTCCTGCCGGATATGGCATAGGTTGGGGGCCTTGCACCATCATTGGCCCAGCTCCAGCGGTTCCCCTAAAGCCTCCACCTCCATAGTAACCGTATGCAGGCCCGCCCGGCCCACTCGGAATAGCGTACTGCGCTTGCTGATGCGAAGGAAAAACGGGCCCGATTTGGGAGGGATGGGCCACAGGAGACTGCTGGTACGGAGCCACCGTCGCATTGTGTAAGCTTGGAGATGCCATTACTGAAGGAGGAATCTGCCGTAAATGCTGTTCCGGTTCATATTGTGGGGGAGGAATACCCATGTGTTGGGGCATGTGGGGATGTGATTGGTGGGCGATATGAGGAGGTGGGTTGATGTGGGGTATATGGGAGGGAATTTGCTGATGGTGAGGTTGAGGCATAACGTGCGGGGGTTGAGGCGAATGGATGGAAGCAGCTATACTGAACTCTGGCTTTGCAAACATTTGTTCCCACTTCTTGTCCGCATTCTGCTCCGTCGTCGGCCACGTGGGGGTTGTAACGAATGCACGCTCAATATAGTCGTTGGAATTGCCTCTGATCTTCTTTATAGGCCCATCTGTGGGCGCTGGGGTAGCGGGTGCAGCTTTCATACGCTTGAACGGATTGAACCGATCGGCAATCAGTGGCTTCTCCTGTGAAGGTTTCACCTTCTTGTTGCCGAAGAATGCCGAAGGGCTCGCAGCTCTGGAGGAGTGGGCGTGCGCAGAGGTGGTGGGGCTAGGGGTGGCATTGGTGGATGGGCCACCCAGGGTTGGTGTGAAAGATATAGCATTAGGATTAGGTTTGAACTCTGGGGCTTTTGCACTCAGATTCCTAAGATGAGCCGCGGAAGATGGTGATGTGGACTTTGGAGCTGTCGGTATGTTCGCAGCAGCAGCAGGGCCCGTGGGGACACTGTGGGGGTGTTCAGGAATAGGTACAGGAGACCTTACGGACACCTGGTGGCCGACGCGTCGGTCGGCAGCAATTTGATACAATCGAGTGCTGAGAGGTGCCTGCTGGGCTTGCTGACTGCGCGATGGGCGTGATTGGGTCGGCGGAAACCCTTGTAACAGCTGTTGACGTGTTAACTGAAATTCCTCAGGATTCTTCGCGGCGAAGCTGTTCGGAGGAGGAACCCTCGTTGTTTGAGGCGGCTGCACGGCAGCCGTAGGTGGGGCGCTAGTTATCTTGGCAACACTCTTCTTGGCCTTTTCGATAATCTCCGCTTGTTTTGACTTATCCTTTGCCAATATTGGAACCAGATCCTGTGGAACCTCTGTTTTCAAGACAAAACTCTGGGAGAATTTCCTAAGTTCCTCCAGTTTCGATGCCCTGTCCTTCTGAACGAGATCAGCCTTCTTTTTCTTATAGCGTTCCTTCTCAGAGTTGACGAATCTCTTAAAAGTCTCATTCACTTCTTGGGGAAGAGGGGGGTCCGAGCTATTAGCAGGAGGATCCGCAGATGATGGCGCAGGGTGCCCCCTCTTGGGCGCTATTGTCTCGGGAAGCGATGTCTTCTCCTTTGGTTTTGCCGAAACATCTTCAGAGCCCTTGCTAGGCGGCTGTTGATTCAGCGTGATTTGTGGAAGCGGAGGCCGAGGAGCCTGTGGTGACTGCTGTTGGTTCTGTTGCAGGGTTTCGGGACGAAGCAGCTGAGACGAGATTATAGCGGGATCATGCGGAGCACCGGGAACCGTTGGAAGTGCGGTAGGCGCCCGAAGCGCTGGCGGTTTATAGCGGTTATTTGATGGTTGTATCTGGGGGAGAATTGATGGCGCGGGAGTCCTCTGCACAGCCCCATATTTATCTTCTTCGTCCTTTCCACTATCATCGCCCCAAGAAACACCTCTCTCCTCAGCGAGGTGTGGGTTCATATTTGGGCCGACGCCTTGTGACTCAATCTCCCGAGCAATCTTATCAGCTATAGCCTCCCGCTGCTGATATAGCGGGTGTGATCGGTCCACCTTTGTAGTATACAAGTCGGGGTTGAAGTCGGATTTAACGCCAAATAGACGCTCGTTTACCTCAAATTGGTTCCAGCTTTGACCAGAGCCCTGACCCGATTCCTCAAGGGAAAGCTCGGTAGTCTTCTCGTCCGGTTGCCATCTGCGCAACTCCCGTTCCCGTAAGGCAAGATTTCCGGATATATCAGCATCGGTCCGGAAATTCCCTGCAGGTGCACCTTTTCCAAACCGTGTCAGCTCCAATATTGACATTGGTGCGGGGAATCACCAGGATTGTATTTACCATTCTGATGGGCACTTTGCAACTGAGTTTCGTCCTCCCCAAGGGCAATCCTCTCAGCGAAAATATCGACCAAATCCTTCGGTTCGAAAACCATGGCTTTCTCGAGACCCCCGCCGACATATTCACCCTCCTCCACTCTCTCATCGCTGTCACCCAAGGGGGTTCGGACTTGGCGAACCCACTTCATCGTAGCACCAAGGTCGTGGCTCTTGGTGTCCGCACCAGTTAAGATGCCTGCAAAGCGCGCGCCGTTCCTCAGAGTGATTGTCACTTGTTTTCCCTGTGTAACAAGCGCTCGGTTAGCGATGCCGCAAGGCTAAAATCTTAAAATTCAATTGACCAAGGGCATTAGATAGCAGCCACACATCCACACAAAAGGGTTCACAGCTCCATAGGTAAATGCCGCCACAAACCCCAAATAGAATTTAACGTGGAAAAGATACTCACCACGAGATTCATAAGCAGATAGAGGGTTCTATCATGCATATGCTTATCATGGGTATCTGACTCCCCGCCGGAAGATGCATTGGCGCCCCTGCTCTTCATTGCCGCGGACTGGCTAGGTGTGGGCGATGCAGAAGCTGGGTTTCCAGTTCCGTTGTACTTCTGCTGTTGGTTGCTCGCCTGCCAGGGCTTGTGAGCAGAATTTCGCCTGCACGTGCCCAGATCAGTTATCATTCAACACGGACCGCTCCAAAAAAAAAAAAAATTTAGGACTGGATGAAGCAGAGATGAAGATCGGTCGAAGATATATAAAAAACAAGCTCATAACAGGTTCAGCTAGTAGAGAAACAATTCGGGTAGGAATAGAATGAACAAATGAGAGCAAGCCAAAGTTCATAACACTTGGGGGAAGATATGTGAAGGTTGACATCTCCCCAAGCAAGAGAACCACGGTCTCCGCCTCAAAGACCTCAACCACAGAGGCCAGTGGAGTGGCAACACGCCCCCCCCCCCATCCAGACAGAAGAACACTCTAGAATGATAAGGCTTACCTCTGGGCACCATCAATGGGTGATTGAGTGGGTCGTCTGTTCGAATTTCCACCGCCGCCAGAGCCCCCAGTAATGCTACTCTTCAACTGTGGCCTTCCACCGGCAGCGTTGGAAGAGGCGTTGGGAGAAGCGCCATTGGTCACTGCGGAAGGAGCTGTTGCAGTGGTCGCCATGTTGAATCAATGTAGTCTTGGGGGAGCTCGTAATCAGGTGTCGTGAGTTGTGCTGGAGCTGCGAAGAAGAAGGAAAAAAGTAAGCAAGGAAGCATGACCGGGGTGGAAGGGATGCAACAAACACGTTCCGCAAGACGCCGGGGTTTTGGAGTACTTTTATGCTTTTCCCCTCGAGCAGTGGATGGTGCACGAAGGGGGTTTGGGGAAGGAGAGGGGGAGGAGAGTGAAATGGGAGGTCTGGCGGAGAAAGTGTGGAGGGGGATGTTGGAGGGGAAAGGGAGCACGAGAGATGGGGAGGGAGACGGTGCAGGGGCGAGGAAAGGAGATCCTCCGTTTGCTGATCAAAGTCTGAGAACAACCGCAACGAAGGAAAGCTCCCAGCCCGAGGAAAGGATGAAATGAACGGCGAGAAGAGAAAGGAAAAAGAGGTGGAAGTGGAGAATTAGAAGAGCACCTGGCGAATGTGTACGAAGAGGAGGAGGGAGAGGGAGAGGAGGGAGACGGGAATCTATGGGAGAGGAGCAGCCTTAGCAATGCGGTGCAGCATGTATGGTATGGTAGGTAGCAGTGGTACTGTACTGTGGGTAGTTATCAATGGGTCAGGTCTCAGGACCCGCCAAAAGAAAGGGCAGAGGGTCGTCGTCTAGTTACTTTTTTTCGCCTATCTTTCTGACCTTGGTCACTTTTACGTGAGGAGACCCGATGCCCAGGGACAATAATTGAAGCGAAATATTAACCGCCAGAACAATATTATGATGTATTCGAGGGAGCTTTTTCTACCCGCCGGAGCACGGTACTACGGGTGTGTGAGGGAGGGAGGGAGGAAGCAAAACCCCATCCTCAAGAAAGAGAGGGATAAAAAAATAAGAAAAGGATTCCGAACGCACACACAAAATAGCTGTCTTTTTTTTTTCCTCTCTTTCTCTCTCCCTTCAGTCAAGCATTTCGTTCCAATAAGGCAATAATCATGCCAAGCTTCAAAGTATATGGTAGCAAATTCTGCCTGAATCACCGGAACCAGCGTATTTAGCACAAGAGGCTGCAAGAATTAATACCATTTTTAGACCGTTTAGCTTCACGAACAGAATAATTGATGGCCCTTGACGCAGCTGACCCAAAATAGCCGCTCTCCCTTTTTCCTCCCCGAGCCTCTGCGCACACAGCGGGAGTTGGTCAATGATCGCTCAGTGATCACATCATGTTCCTCCATGATGTGAACCTCAAGCCTTGTCCACCATGTTGAAATATTCAACAACGACGTAACCGTGCTGTGCTCGAACACAGCACTCGTACTGTACAGCCTGGGGTCCAACTCACTCGAGCTCGAGCGGCACGTAGGAGTACAGTACAGTACAGCACAGTAGCGTACAGTACTCGAGTACCGGTGCCCATACCAGAACTCACCCACTATAGACTACTCGTACCCTTGAACAGTACCAGCACAGTACTGTTCCCACACGCAGCTATTCCTTGATTTCTTTCCTTTCACTCCCACTTTTCCCCATTCTTTTAACGGGCACGCAGCGAGGGTTTTGGTCGGTATCATACTGGCCCCCTTCCATCTATCTCCATTAGAGTCCCAGTCCCATTTCCGCCCCGAATTCCCCCACCTGTAGGGTTTTCACTATCAGCCTCGCTCTCGCTGCTGTTCGCGTGGTTCACGATCATCCAGTGGAGAAAACCTTTTGGATACCATGCGCTTGGCGGTAAACCCTTTCGGATACCATCAACCGAGAAATCCACCATCATCCTTTTACCGAGACCTTTAGCTATGATGATGGTTTTCCCCACAACTGTGAACTGACCTTCAAACAGTCAGCTTCCCCTGGAGCAGGGCCATGGGAGTCAGTGATGTGGAAAGTGCAGATTTCAGGGGACATGATGGTAGAAAAACATGTCAAAGTGTACCTGAATAGTGCTAGTAGGGTGCTACTTGAATCAGATACTAGTATGCTCTCAAAACAGTTTGTTGTTTAGATAGACTTTGGAAATATGTTTTGGCTTGAAACATGCCAGTGCTTTGGCACTGAGAATGCCCTGGCTTTCAAGAGTAATGCTCTAACTTTTAGGAAAGAATTTAGGCCGTAAGAATGGACTGAAGCTTTTAGATCAATGCATTACTAGGTAGAAGGCTATGGAGAAAGTAGAAAGGCTGCAGTAGGGAAAGCCGGAAAAATTGATATTTATAGTACTGGATGCATAGAGACTATAGACCATGAAAGTTTGCTTTCTTTCCTTTGCTAGCTTTTGCTTCAAGCAAGTGGAAGAGATACTCGAGCACTATACAGGAAAGGGCAGGGCACGATCATGTTGTCCTGTATGACTGGTTGGCATTTCATTTTATTGTTTCACCATTTCACTGCCTCAGGCTTACCATCATCAATTCATATAAGAGGAACAGACAACCGTTAAATTCAACACAACAACCAAATGATCGATAGCGATATTCAAACATGAATGTGCTCTCTCCTTATTGTTTTAGGAGTCAGTTCATGGTCGGGGAGGGAACCATTGTCATAGCTGAAGGTTTCAGTAAAGGACGACGGTAAATTTCTCGGTTGATGGTATCCGAAAGGGTCCACCGCCAAGCGCATGGTATCCAAAAGGTTTTTTCCATCTCCACCCGTGTCAAGCGTGGTCGGGCAGCTGAACCGGGTTGTATTGGGACGGTTATGGCACGGTAGTCGCCTGCAATACCGGTTGGCCACCGTACGGTACGAGCCCGTCTCGCATAACGATTCCAAGGATCCCAGTATCGTTGCTAGTACTAGTATCATGGCCTCTTGGGTGAAACTTGATATGCTCAGGCTTCGCTCATGTAAATTAAGGCTGGTCAGGGCCTTCTGGTTACAATACGACCGGCAGCATGACAGAAAAAAAAAAAGAAAAGAAAAGAAAGGAAAAAAGAACCCCCCCTCCCCATTCAGTAGCTTTATCGCAATACCACGATTCACCGCTATCATATGATACGACAATATCATGGCACTGTTTCCCTGATATTTACTCCGGCAAACAGTGTTTGTACGAGCATGATACTCGCACAGTATCCTTCCTACCATACTCGAGTGCATAGAATGGGTTTCACAAGTTGAAAGGGCAGGGTACGACCACCGTACCCTACAGCACGGCACCATAACTCTTTTCACCAGCAAACATCGACCCAACCCCGGCACCACCGTAACAGCTCCCCCTCCCCCACTACTTGTGGCCTGCCACCCGACTGCAACACCCACCCACCTCGCTCTTCCGCTCTTCCGCTCTTCACCTGCTCGAGTACCGTACCTTTCTTCCTCCCACTTCCCTCACCCCACGCATCACAACTAGCCACCTTTGCGGAGTATGCAATCTGGCTCCCATCGCTCTGATCTCAGAAGATCTCCAACCCCATCCCAGTATTCCGCTTTTAACTCCTCCACCATGTCGTCCCAAAATTCTGGCGGTTCCGCGAGAAGCCCTCGGCAGCGCAACAAAACTAGTGTAGGTCCCACCCCCCCCCCCCCCCCCTCGCCTCCCGCTTCTGCGTTTCAGCTTAGGCATTCGCCCATTTGTGCTCGCTCTTTGTTCGCTCGCTGCTCAGCGAGTGCCTTTATGCCGAGGCATCCGTGACATATCTTGCTGACTGCGGTTAAAGCCCTCCCAGTATCTAACCACCATTGAGAAGTCTGTAACTCAGCTTCTCATTGCAACTAAACAGCTGCTTGAAACCCTCACTGCCTGGTCGCGGCAGCAGGCCACCGAGGCTGAGGTATCCGATGTTTACGTTCGTCTCGGTTCCGAGTTTAATCTAGCATGTCGAGCATTCACGGCCATAGGCGTTGAGACGGCAGACCTTGGAAATGTCCCGGATTCTTTAAGAACGATACTGGAGAGCACCCTGAGTCAGGATGCTAGTCCGCAAAGCTTGGATGTTTATTTGCCGCGGATTAGAGAAATCATCATCAATCTTCTGCATGGGCTTAAACGGAAACAGCAAAAACTGCGACAGAAGAATACAAGAGAATCCGGTGGATCCTCCGGGGGTCCGCCTTCCGAGGGAGGGCTTCCATCTCAACCAGTGCCCCCCGCCAGGACAAGAAGCGGCGATTCCTTGGAGGAGGTTGCTCCTCCACGTTCTTCGTCTCTTCCCAGTGGGGGACAAAACCAGAGGGGCACTTCGCCGATACCCCCGTACCCCACTTCGGGGAGGGGGGGTTCTACGTCTGCAACGTCTTCCATGCGAAATTCTCAGAACCACAACGCGTCTATCAGTTCAAATCTAGCTTCGCCACCCATAACGAACGATTCAGTAGGTGCTTACAAGAGCCCCACAACCAATGGACCACATGTCCCTATGCCGGCCGTCCCCGCCCAAACCCTCGTTCCTCCGCCTCCACCGCCCCCACCGCCCGCTCAGGATGCTCTCGCCGCCTTGCAGCGGGAAGACCCTCTTCAGAGAAGGGCTTCTCGTCGCTATTCAGCGTACCAAATCGCGAAGCTCACGGGGACTTCGCCAGCTGGTGTGCCAATGCTGCCTTCCAATCCTTCTGCAGTCCCTCGAAATCAGGAATCAAAGGAATCACTGGACGCTGTTAGAGTAAGGCGCTCTTATCAACCAAAGTCGGTCCGGAGCGATGAGACTTCGCCAATGAGAAACGCAAACCGTATATCAGAAGAGCGGGAAACCGACCCTTCATCGCCAGTCGTTAGGGAAATTGAGAAGGAGGCGCCAGCTGTTCCTGCGAAAGACAACGAGGCCATCAGGGGAAAGCCCGCAATTAAAGTTGATACGGGCGCGTCTCCTCCCCCGGCGCCCCAGAAAGATGAAACAAAGGCCGTGTCTCCTACCAAGGCTGTTTCGGGTACGATTCAAACGGGCTCACGGAAGCCTGGCAGCAGGCGAGATTCTAGCCCATCACAGGGCAAAGATCTCACTCTTTTTCTTCAACTTGGCCGCTCCATAAAAAAGGTATACCTTGCCGATGGTTTGGATGAGCTATCAATTACCTCTCTTCGGCTACTATTTATATCGAAATTCAATTATAACCCACCTTCAGGGGAGGATTTCCCGGAAATCTATCTACAGGATCCGGTATCCGGTGTGCGGTATGAGCTTGAGGACACCAGGGACGTTAAGGATAGGGCAGTATTGTGCTTGAATATTGAGGTTTTGGACGAAGTCAAAAGACATATCGATGATGGAATGGGCAGCCTCAAAAAATTGGTAGAGGGATTGCAGGGATCGGTTGGTGGCCAAAGACTTCAAATCCAGAGAGTGGCCGAGAGACAGGAAGAGGCGGCCAAGAAGATAGCAGAACTCTCAGTCGCCCCTCCCGTGGCAACCCCGATTCTCATGTCGCAACCTCAATTGCCGCCGAGCCCCTCGTCGGCATCTCCGGCAATGCAGGACAATACCGTGCAGCTTGGCGAAATCCGGGACCTTCGAAAGGATTTGGCAGTCCTCCGACAGATTTATTCCACTTTTGTTGCCGATATCAACGCTTCAATGTCCACCATCAAGACCAAGGCTAGTTCGGTGAAGGCGGTGGCTAGTAATCCCACACTCGGTCCAAATGAGGGCCGTGCCTACGTTGAAGCCGGCAAGAAGACCTTGGCCAGTGATGCGGATGCTTTAGTTAATCGCGTTGACGACCTTCAGGATACGGTCGAAGATCTGCGGAAGGACGTGGTCCAACGAGGTGTCCGCCCTTTGGCACGCAATCTGAACCAAGTGAAGAAGGAAATCGCGCAAGCCAGAACGGAGCTCAAAAAGATGGCCGAATATATTAAAAGAGAGAAGCCTGTTTTTCGCAAGGTCTGGGAGAAGGAAGTCGAACTCGTCTGTCAGGAACAAGATTTCTTCAACATGCAAGAGAACCTTATCGAGGACCTACAGGACGATCTTGACAAGGCAGGCCAGACATTCCAGCTGGTTGAGCAATGCACGGAGACACAATTCAAGGCCAATGGGGCGGGCGGAGCCATGAGATCCGCTAGTAGGGGCTTCCCAATGGGAATGGTTCATCCGGATGATCAGCTTAACCCTACCGAAGCTAAAGATAGTGTGCTTAGTGAGGTGCGCGCTCTACAGCCAAATCACGAGGGCAGATTGGAGGCAATTGAGAGGGCGGAAAAGGCCAGACAGAAGGAGTTGGAAGGCAGAGTTCCCGAATTCCAGAAGGAACTCGGGGAGTTCGTGGAGGAGGGCAAACTTAAGAAGGCAGGGGGTGTGGACGAAGTGGAGAGATTAAGGATGGCTAGGGACGAGAAGATCCGCAGGGAAGTGTGGGAGCTGAAAAAACAGATGGAAGAAGCGGAGGCCCGTGCCGAAACCGAAGAATCCGACGATGAGGAGGAAGAGAGTAGCGATGAAGATGAGGGAGCAGCTGATGGGGGAGTATGAGGGGATGCGATTGATGAACTGTAGGGGTCACGTGGGATACAATGGCAGGTTGGGTGGATTTTTTTTCTTTTTCTTTGTCACGGCGCAATGGGTGTGTATGTGTTGGCTGTTGGTTCATGGGGATACCACCTTCGATGGGGGGTTTCTATATATCTTCTCTCTGTACAGCACTTGCCCTTTCTCTCGAGTTTTATGCTGGCCTTTTTTTCTTCCCTTGTTTTCTTCTTTCCTTCCTTCTTTTTCCACCTACCCATTATTTGTCACATCTTTTTCCATGGGAGACTCGAGTGATTGTGCTATGGGAAGGGGTTTTTGATGTACATTTTACCCATCAATTGTACATTCAAGGCAGAAACAAAAGAAAAAACTCAACTTAGTGTAATGGGTAACAGAATGGTTGTCAAGTATCCCCTGATCCCCGTCCCACCCATGCTAATCAACCGCAAAAGGGATCACTGCCACCTAACCCGGCAGTTAATTCCTGCTCGGGGAAAGAAAGAAAAAAGGAACCCACCAGAAGTGGCTAAACATACCTATAAAACCCCATAATCCCGCCGCGCCCGCCAGCCCTCTGCACCCCAGTAAACCCCTCCACCCCGCCAGCCCCCCACACGACCTCCACCGCCCCCCCAGCGCCCGTGTCCCACGGCAACCTGCCTTCCTTCATCGCCTGCTCAAAACCCCTGACTTGCTCCTGCCCCTCCCCCCACAAGGCAAACGGCTCCCCGCCCATCATCCTTTCCGCCATAGCCTCCCAAACACCGCTCCCACGCGGCAGCCTCGTCATGAACTCCCTCTGGACCAGCCTGCCCCTGTCACCACCACCGTTGCGCGGGTCGCGAGTATATATGTTATTTTGCAGCTGCCGGATGCGCAGCAGGTCCATCGTTGCAATGCTCGAGAGTAGTGATGCAAGGAGATTGGGCGGGTAGGCCTCTATCAGTTTCATGGTGAGGTATGTCGTTGTGAAGAGGTCGAGTTCTAGAGCGCACGGCGTGCGCGGGGGCAGTTCAGGCCCCTCCCCGATGTAAGGATTGCGCCTGAGTGGGGGTTTGGAGAGCATGGCTTTGTACTTCGTTTCTGCTGTTTTGATGCGTGCGCAGATGTAGATTATGGCGTGTAGGGTTAGGCGGTAGTGGGTGACTTCGTCTGGTAAGGGTGAGTGGTTATCTATGGGCTGGGATCGAGGATGGGGAAGGGGAAGGGGGGGGGCAAACGAACCTGGTGATGCCTCAAACCTCTGTTGCCGCCTCGCAAGGTATAATCTTACCAGGGGCTCCCATGGCCGGATGGTTTCTCGTGCTACGGCGTTGATGATGCCATTCTGACCGGTTATCCACGCATTGTGGAAAAGTCGGGAGGTGAGGATTGCACTGTGCACATCGTGGAAGCAGGGCAGTGACTGGAGTATTTGAGTGTGGATTTCCACCGGGAGTGAAGCAATGGTGGCTGCTAACGGAACTGTGGGTGACATTACGCTTGCCCCCTCGTTTGTTATTGACATTTGTTGTTCCTAGGGTTTGTGATGATTATGATGATAATGCTAACAATGGGGGTGTGCCAAGTTAAAGGTACGAATAAATAGCGGGGAAAGAGGACGAAAGCGGAATTTCAATACGGGCGTATCGGTGTAGTACAGGATGTACGGCCGGGTACGATAGGTCATTTGCGGTAGCACAATGGTTGATATGGGGAAGGGTAATCCTCATGTAAGGTCACTCGGAACCAGGCCGCTGGCAATGATCCAGGATTCCGTGAGATATCCGTTCCCCCCTTAAAGCGGGGGAATGCGAGATAAGAGCTGCACAAAATCGCTAAAGCCAAGGTTGGCGGTGCACGATGAGAGGAACCTTACACCTGTGTTGGAGATGGATATACTGGTCACCAAGTTCTCTTGTGTTTTGCCCATTGCCCTAGGCTTCTCTCTATATATTCGTAAGCACAGCACCACCCGATAGCAGTCTCTTCAAAGCTTCCGACCACGCCTAAGCCCCCTTTGGCGAGCATATGAGAGCACGGGGACAGCCGAGAAATCTAGATTTTGAGGGAAACATATCCACCATTAGTGTACTAGTAGACACATGTCACCTTAAACCCAGGAACCTGTCGGCTATTTACGGTTCTGGGTCTATAATGGCACACCACGGATGTGTTGGCCGCAAGGAGGACAGATCAAACCGCTCTGCAGCTGCCTATAACCCAACTTGCGAGGGGATACGGCCTAGAAATGGGCCATTAGAATTGGGAACATGTTCCGTAACGACTCTTCCATTTACAAGAAATCATCATAGAACCCAGCATCCCTATTCTGATTCGAGCTTGCTTCCAGAGCATCCTCAGTAAAGACGTCATCGTAAGCATGGTCCTTCTGCCAGGCTTTCTCCCTGTGTTCTCTCGCGACTCTCGCCTCTTCTTTTTTCTGTGAGTTGTTTATTTACAATCAGCAATTATCCCACCCGTATGTATCCCGGGCCCAGTATGGAGTCTAGGGGAGGAGGGGGTGGCGGGGAATTCTTCTTACCCGCTCAAGCATCGCCTTATTCTCCCGATTCCGAATTTCCCGTTCCCGCTCTTCCTTCTCCTCTGCCAGATCTGGGAACCGCTCCTCTTTCGTCTTATTCAGCCGGTTGACAATGGCGTTGATTCGAGTCTCGACTAGAATCTTTTTTACTTTGCGTTGGTCTTTGAAACTGACTTGTCCGACGGCCATGCTGCCATCTTTCTTGAGGTTCGACCAGGGTGTGTAGACAACGTTGATGTTATCCTTCTTGTTTCCTATAATCTAGTCTTAGCTTCCCTTCCGTTGCAGCAGATAAGATACGAAGGTGGGAGCGGGACTCACACCTTCAATGGAGTTGGATTTTGTAAGCTGTGCACAATCGGTTAGGAGATCTTGCGGGACACTCTCCCAATCGCTTCCTTCCGGGAGGCGAAGGTATATATGTGCCGATGAGAGTTTGTCTGCGTGAAACTTGGGGCTCGATTAGCGCACCATGAGGTTGAACTTTGAGAGGGACGATGATCAACGAACCCTAGACTTCAATGTTAGCATAATCAAGGGGAGGAAATAGGCATATTTATCCCATGCTCACCATATATCTTCCCTGAAACCATACTTTACCAGCTCCTCATCTGTGTCCAGTTAGCTATCCTGGACGTGTTACTCGGGGGGCGGGGAAGCTGAGTACTCTCGACTTTGTCTTTGCCGACATAGATGAACGCCGGGGGATCTACAACATTGGAGGTGAAGTAGTAAACCATGATTGTACTGGAGGCCCCTTCGAGATTATTAGGATTGGCGAAATGGGGAAATACACTCTTTTGGTATGAGACCGGTATTATACTGTTGCAGTGGTGGGGTTCGTTTGTGTGGTAACTGTGCCAAGGTTCCTGCTGATTGTGTAACGGTGCGAAAGTTGCAGCGTGTCCGAGTCTACAACTTGCTTTATAACCTAAAATCGGATTTTCCAAAACCTTTTCTAATAACTCAATCTGCAAAGAATAAAAATATCCGGGATTGTTAGAAAATTATGGAAAAATAGAAGGATCAAGTGTGCCTGCTGGTAGAAAAACGTAATATTGCTACTATTGGACAAGAATTTTATATTTCAATAAGCAATTTACAAGTTCAATAGAAGCTTCTATGGTATTAAACAGAAAGAGAGTGGCTAACAGTTAACAGAAAGCTTACAGAGACTAAGGAGCTTACTTTCCATACAATATATATCTGAGCGATTGTTGAACTCCTCCAGGCGTTGCCACAGCCCACGGTAAAGAGCAACCCAGCTACCCCACCTTCAGAAATTGCGTAGTCGCAATTAAACATGTCTCAGATCACGAACACTCCTATCGAGTGGCCGTATGATACTTGCACTCGAGTACAATAAAGCTCTGACGGAGCTGATGGAAAAAGGCTTCATCCCTGGTGTGGGTCCAACACACGTGGAGCCTTAGTAGATCGGAGGCTCGGAGCGGGACAAGGGCACTCTGCCCGTAATTAAATTACGATGCAGTATTGGTATGATCACCTCTCGAGAATATCCCTGGCACCCTAGCTTACGGAGTATATACCGAGATGCTGCATTTCGAAGCCCTCATACGAAATTTTGTCTATGTACACCTACTCTATTGTCTATAACCAACCTCCGCCAAACTGCTCTTGAGCGCCTCAATTGCCTTCTCAATGTGCCCCAAGTCACTATTCGTAACACTAACGCCCATATGTCCAAATCTAAAGTATTTGGTGGCTTTAAATCATTGTTAGTCTTATTTCCCTTCAGTGAGGCTTGGATCTTACCCATTTCTTTATGCAATCCACCAGCGAAAACAACGCCTCTGGCCATGAGTTTTGGGAGAAGATCTGGAGCGGCAACACCCTCTGGGAGGTAGATAGCAGTCATCCCATTTGCCTGGCATTCAGGCTTGTCTGCCAACTGCCTTAAACCTAACTCGGTAACAGCTTTCTTGACCTTCTGGCTAGCTTCCTTGTGCTTCTGGAATCGGTAGTCTAGGGGGACAGAGAGAATCTGACTGAGCGAAGTGTGTAGAGCGCGAACCAATTGCGGCGAGGGGGTGGCAAAGTACGAGGGCTTCTTAGCTTCATAATTTTGCATAACTCCACGATTTGTCAGTTTCAATACTTTGGGGGGGCGATCCAGACAAAGGCAACATACTTGGGAGCCAGTTTGCAAACGATGCAAAGTATGCTGGCGGTGGAGTCCTACGAGCCTTGAACCTGTCAATCCCCCTTCCGCTCACCATCAGTATACATAATCCTGCAGGAACCCCAATGGCTTTCTGAGACGCCGTGAGAACCACATCGATTCCCCAACCGTCAAAGCGGATCTCCTCGCAGCCAACAGAGCAAACGCCATCAACTACAACTAGAGTATCCGGAGATACTTTATGCACCAATTCAGAGACAGCCTTGACATCCGAAAGCACGCCAGTGGAAGTATCGGTGTGAGTGATTGTGATGGCCTTGTAAGATTTTCGCTTCAATTCTGCTCCAATCTCGTCGAGAGATGGCCGGGAACCGATGGGAGCATTCAGTTGTGTAGGAACAGCTCCGTATACACTAAGGCATGTGGCGAACGAGTCGGCGAAGTAGCCTAGTAATGCTTGCGTTAAAATAAAAATAAAAAAAGGCCCATACCACTGCGGCCGGGATGCCATATACCAGAATGCAGAACCAAAACCTCATCACACTTTTCTACCAAGTTTGCAGCTACGAAATCCCAACCCAGAGTTCCCGAGCCAGAAATTACAAATGGCTGTGACTTCGGATCCGTAGTAATGAAGAGCTTCCTCAACATTGACAAGGTTTCTCCGAAAGCATTGACAAAGGCAGGCCCGACGTGGCTCTCACTAAATCCACCAGCTATTAGGGTCGTTTGATAAGCCAACAAGGCACTTGGGAATTGAAAATAGTGAAAAACGTACCTTGGGTGAGCCATAGATCCTAGAACCGCGTCATCGAATTCAATTGGCCCTGGAATCAAAAGCGTAGGGTGAGAAGCTTGAGCAGACATTTCGGGAGTCTCGGGGTCGATGGTTGAAGAATTTCCAGCAGAAGGGTCCGAAGTAGCTTTCGTGGTGGAGGAGGGATGAGGAGGGACGGCTTCCAAATGCCTGTTCAGAAGCAACAGACGGTAATTCGCGGGTTTCGCCACGGCTAGCAATGTAAGGGGAGTCACGGGGAAACAAAGGGTACGTGGGTGCGGGTATTGCTCGAATTTCAGCGCAAGCCGTATCACGCTAATTTCCGAGTACCGCTAGATAACTACTCGTAGATGCGATAAGTTGATTTGGTGCCGGAAATGTTGAGAAGACTTGAACGGCAACAACAAAGGGTGTAATGAGAAAACAAGAGTATAGGTGTGATAAAGAAGTAAGCGAGAAGAGTTCTATGAATTTATTCCCTCAGGAGAAGCCAGGCGGTGCATGTAAAGTAAGAAGGATTTGTGGGAGGGAGAAAAAGGGAAACCCTTTTATACCCTGAAATGGTATCATACCTATACGGTACCGGTACCTCGGATACTTCTAAAATAGAAACTAGGAAAAATCCTTGGCAACAAGATACCAGCCGATTTATAAAGTATCCGGACACCTTGGCACCAGTCCCGCCAGCATATGTGCCAAGGTGTCCGGATACTTTATAAATCCGCCGGTACCCGTACACCTTACCACCCCGCACCTAAATACTTGGATCTTCCTGCTAAGGCATTGTCGAGGCACCTCTGGTCGGATGTTGATTGCTATCGTAGAGGGGTGTCTCCGCTCGAGTATATTATACAAGCCAGAGACCCATTGGCCGCATTACCGAAGTTGTCCAAGCAATTGGTCGGAATCCAGCCATAGGCCATCTACATGCCTGACATCATCCCAGTAAACTTGTTAAATCCGATTTAGAAGCTAGGAGCGTTAACAGAACAATTGAAATTACAAAGTATTAACACCAGTACTGTAACCGGAGAGCAGGAGCCGTTGTGCCCAGGTACCAGTAGGCCGGGAGGACCCCACATTCAGATCACCCTACTGGTAACAGAAGGTTTCAACCGTTTTCATGCTACTATCGATAGAGTGTGTTTACCCCCCCCAACAAAAAGGGGAATAACAGTAGCCAAGAACAGGTCTACCAATAGAATGGGTACTTGAGTGACAACATATGATTAAATGCCAAGATAACTTACGTAATCACTAAGGCAAGAAGACGGAATCAGTGCCAAGAATGCCAAGCCACGAGATGTTTATCACCGAAGGATCCCTGTTCAGAATGGCCAGAAATTGAACAGGAGGGTTGTTTTCGGATGCCCGGCACTGCAGGTGCGGCCGAGTGAGGAGAGGCGAAACGCTGGGGCCACAGGCTCTGTGACAGGATGTTCAGTGGGGCTTGGAAGCTTGGATTGAGGCTCTGTTCGCGTGATGTGTGGAGCTGCCGGGTAACCTCATGTAACGTCTGGGGGGCGCAAGTTCCAGAGCTTGTTGAGAAGAGGTATTTTGATAAGTTCGAGGGCACAGTATCGACCGTTACCGCTACTGACACCACCGCTACCGGTCAATAATTGCCGGAGCCACGATTAGGAGGTAGCTAGTGATCTGCCCTCCATTTATCTGTTTCTCTGATGCTCAAGCTAACTATTTAACATGCAGACGACCCACCAAACAAAGCAGTATCATACAGTCAAATATCTCAGTTGCTTCAGATGGCCTCCCGCTTGGTTCTTTGCATAGGAGATCTCCATATCCCGGATAGAGCTCCGGTACATCTCTCTTTAACCTCCCAAACTTGTCCGAGTATTCAATAAGCTAATTCCCTTGTAGGACATTCCAGCCAAGGTGTCTCCTCTCCCACCCTTGTCCATCTACCCCTCCAAACCCGCAATCTAACAATCACCAGTTCCGCAAACTCCTCTCTCCCGGAAAGATCGGACAGATCCTCTGCCTGGGGAACCTGACGGACAAGGAAACCTATGATTTTCTTCGAAGTGTAGCTCCAGAGTTACAGATTGTCAAGGGCGATTTCGACACCGACGCTACTAATCTTCCTCTATCGAAGGTCGTCACGCATGGGAATCTGCGTATTGGATTTACGCATGGTCATACCATTGTACCACAGGGTGACAGCGATTCCTTACTGATTGAGGCAAGGAGGCTTGATTGTGATGTGCTGGTTTGGGGCGGTACTCATCGATTTGAGGCGTACGAACTCGAGGGAAGGTTCTTCATTAATCCAGGTTAGGGATTTTGGGGTTTAGAGGTCGGGGAACAAGGTGCTGATGGGGCGTAGGGTCTGCGACTGGCGCTATCTCTGGTGGATGGGTTTCGACGGATGAGCCTATTGTTCCCAGTTTCTGCTTGATGGATGTGAGTTTGATTCCGGCCAATAATTATGGGGGCCGGAGCAGGATCTAACTGTCTATAGGTACAAGGGAGTGTACTTGTGCTCTATGTCTACCAGCTCCGTACAGATGAGAAGGGGGTCGAGAGCGTCGGTGTCGAGAAGGTCACATTTAGGAAAAACGGCGAAGCCCCTTCGTAGCTCAACCAGGGAGTCTGGTGAGACGTTGGTAGTCGAAATATGTACATTTTTTCGGTCCTCAATGGCGATTGGGTTTCATTTTCTTTTCTTTCACATCATGTTTAGTTGGTGTTACGAATACGTGAGATGCGAACTGATGGATGCTGTGGGGTGGCATGCTGATTCCAGAGCATTTGCCTTTAATGAATACCAGATGATTGGTTATTGGGGGAAAAATCAAAACGGGTACCTAAAAATACAATGCTCAAGAAAGGAACGCAAAAAAAGCGTCGCCAACGCATATAACTAGGGCCGGACCTTAGAAAGAGGCAACACCTCCTAAGGACTCCTCACCCGGGGTAACGGTCCAGCTAGAACGAGGAATATAGACCGCAGGACAGGCTTTTGAAGACCCTTTGACAAATCAGACCGTTCAGGTACTGATCCCAACCGAAGATCTAAGAGCACAGCAACCCGTCTCACCCTCTCATCACCTTAAAACCCGTCACCCTGTCTCCCTCCCAACCCCAAAGATCCATACTTCGCACCTGGGACCAAACTCTTATGATCCGCTGGGTTTGCAGCAGCCTCATACAACGTAACCACATGCTCTTTCTTCAACTCGGTCCAATCCCCCTTAAACCCCAAATAAGAGATCTGCGTAAACTCCTCCCCATCCGAGTAATTATTCTCAAAGAAGAGTGTCAGGGATCTAGTATTGTTGAACAACGCCCGCTTCACTGGGATCTCCATAACTCTATCATTGCCGGGAGGCGGCATCGGGAGGTCCAGTGCCTGTACGGCTTGGGTATCACCAGCGGAACTAAAGTCCATATCGTCCCTGTTCGAAAAGAGCTTCAAGGTTTTCGGAGCAGAGACTCCGGGGTCCGCGCCGATGAGGATTGAATGGAGCTTTACGAGGCCGACAAATCTGGTATTGTTATCTCCTCAATATCCCCGGATCGATGAATTGATTGTTAGTTACTAGGGTAGGGAGGGAAGGGGTACGAACGGGATGAACATTAAGAGTTCCTCATCCGCATCACTTTCGACAATGGGAGTGCTGGCGAGCCGGTCCTCCCAGGATTTCTTAACGACATCTCGTCCGCTGCCGGGAGTAGCTTCATTCAGGGTGGTTATCCTGTCGAAGTCTATGTGCCTGTAGAGGGAGGATTGAATGGCGGGTGTGACATCGTCTGTAGAGTTAGTGTATTGGATTCCGTTCTGTGTATGGGGGTTAACGAGGTGCAAACCAGAGTGGTCATGTGCGCCTTCTCCGTGGTCGTAGGAGTGCTCGCCGTGACAGTGGGAGTGTGAGTGGTCGGCCATTACTCTCGTGGCAAAGCTTTTTCCGGTCAATTCAGTAATGCAAACTGTACGTTGTCCAAAGTTTTAAGGGGGAAGAGGGTGTGTTAATTAACGGAGAGCTTCGGATACGGGCACGGTTTGAAGGGGGAGGGAGAGGAAATGTTGCCCCTCCAAAGTGTGGGGGATTTCAGGGTTGATGTCATTAAGGGTTTAGTCACACAATCACGTGATATTACATTTTTGGGGACGGAATGTATTACTCCCTTTATTCAGGGCCGGTATCCCTCAACCACTGTGTATCTTGATCCTTATGGATGATTCATTAAAACTCCGAACTCCAATTATATGTGAACAATCGCACCTTTCAAACCAGGAATAAGCTTCCGACCAACACAGGAGGGCGGCGATCTCATGTAATCGTATCTAGCCGGTCACTTGGATGGTTGTGGTAGTACTGGGATCCTGACGAGCGTTTGTGGCATAGAGACGCCGTTTTCATCCTTCCTTAGGCCTTCACTTTCGTCCGCCGCCTTCTCAGGTGCGAACGGGTTGTCGTCGGCTTCGGGGTCCTTCGGTTTGGGTATTTTAGCTGCAACAGTAAGCACTTGATCCCTCATTGTTATCACATATCTAGTAACTCTAGTAACTCACAAGAAGCCATAGCTATGGCTCGTAGCACGTTGTGCCAATTAGATAACACTGCAGCAACGGCTGTACAACCAACCCTATTAGCATTTATCGGTCCGAGGTTGGCGGAGGATAGCGACCTTCCGTTCCATCAGCCAATGTTCCCAGCTTTTCTTCCAATTGTTGCATCTGTGATGCCAACCCCGCTGATAAATCCCGTAGGGCTTGTAGATTCTCAAGTTCTTGCTTCTTCTCGTTTATCCGAGCAACCAACGCAGGAGATTGTTGGGATCCTCCCATACTAGATGGCCCTGGGGCGGATGGCTGCCGAAAATGCTGTGAATAACGGTTCGGATATGGGTTGGCCATCTTTGGAACGTTGAAAGATGATCGGAGCCAAGGGACGTTGAGAAAAGTGATGTTGGAGGGGCAAGTCCAGCCTCTCAAGACGCAAAAATGATCAGGAGTTGTGAGGGGGTCACACCGACACAGACCATCTGGTTGCCATGGACAGGACGCGGTCGCGCAGAAAACATACACCTAACCTATTTAGGCGAAACATCAACAAGCAACCCCCATTTCCCCACCCGTGGCCTTCTTGCTATACACTGTTCGTTCCCTCTGCACTCCCCCATACCTTCTTCAGTCCTCCACCACCTCGTTAGTCTTCTTTTTTTTATATATAACTACACTCAAATTCTCCACTCAAGGGCTGGTTTATGCTACTTCTTTAATGCATGGCAAGGCTTAATGACCCCCAGACGGAGTCGCTAGAAGCACGTAAGTTTGTTTACAGTATACCCGGCATATTGAGCATGGTTCAAATCGTGCTCCCCATTTGTTTACCCATCCTTTTTGGAATTGCATGATTGCTGACCAGAGTCCCGAATACAAAATAGTCAAAAAGCGATTCCTCCGCCAGAATCGTGAAATAGCTAGGTTAGTTGGTCTACTGCATCGTTCATTTACCCAGTGGTCGTTTGGGTGAACGGTTGTTGGTACTGATTGCCGCAGAGTCAACTCCACCCAATCAGTCCGAATCCGAAATCTGGAGGACGAGACAACTCGTCTACTCACTGAAAACATTGAGCTTAGGGAGCAGGTGATCAAACTACAGGCTTCATTAGATAGGCGTGAAAAGGCTAGAGTGGTGGTGGAGAGCGTCGAGGCTACTAAGAAGAAGTTAGAAGAGAAGGTTGCGGAGTTGGATGAAATTGTGAGGGGATTAGGACAGGTTATAACGACATCGCCGCAAGGTAGTTAGCTATCCGGCCTCATTTGAGAGTCGCAAATCACCTGTGATTCGGGATTCGGGCGAGGTTGCTAACTTTTTTATGACAGGCAAATTGGCAGTCAGGCAGCCAAGGGCCCATGTGGCTTCACATCACCAGAGGATATGGAAGAGCCAGCTCACGCTGGGGGAGATGCACGACGGGCAGTTACCCGCAATTCACGAGGATGCTCGTTCCCGCCGAAATAGTCTTAACGTGGAAGAGCATAGGAGGAGCAGCTTGAAGTATTTCTTCTCCCTCTGTTTTCGTTATACTTGCCATCTTATAACTAAATAAGAGGTCACGAACGTTTTAATTGACCCCTCATTTCTTAGCTTCGAGGAAATCAGCTTGCCTCCGCCACGACCAGAAGATAACAGACATGACGACTCTGATGAAGATCTCAGGCCCCCCGTCTCTAGCCTACTCGATACCCGACCAAGACGAAGGAGAGATAGCGCTATGGCGTTAGATTTGGGGATACCCAACAAACCTGCAGTTCCATCAAAAACCCAACCACCTCCGCCTTCAAATGAAAACACCATAAGTAAGGCTTCCAAGCGCAAGTTTGAACGAGAAGCGGAGGCGGTTATGGAATTGGTGGCAGACATGGAATTCAAATTCTCTAGGATATCCGAACGGCCGACTGAAGTAGTGAGGCCAACGGGGGAAGCCGAGAACGTGAGGGCCACCAAGACACCCGAAAACGCAGAGGAAGATCGAGTGCCAGAGGAACAGTGCAAGGCCAGGGGAGAGGAGGTTCCGTCTAAGATAGTCCGGCTCGTGTTGAATTCTGACGCTAGGAAGAGGAAGGAAGCTTCTGTTTCCATTGACGAAAAATATGCGCCGCCTATTGCGCCCGCCATTTCTGCCGGCAGTAGAAGAGCATTAGGGCCCAGTAAGTTCCGACATCTGTTTAATACCTCCCCAGATCGTTTGAGAAGTCGCTGTGTGCTAACGCTCGAGATACAGAAAGCACCAACTCTGATCCCGCCAATTCACCGTTGAAGCAAGCAAGAATAACCTCTGCCTTAGGAAAGGATGAAAAGAGCTATGATAAACTCGAAAAAGTCGACCTCAACCCTCCACCTCCGATGAAAGCCTACCGCAGCTCGCATGCTCGGGATGCCGATCCAACTCTACCGGATGCAGAGCAACCCACAAACATGCGAGCTTCTAGACGAGCGAAATCGGGGGTCAACTACGCATTACCAAATCTACGCGATAAGATGAGGCGGGACGACAGAGCCGCGGAAGTGGCTAGGGGTGAGGGTAGGAACCAAAAGCGTACCTCTGGAAGATCCAGGAGTAAGGAGCCCGTGGTAGAGAGTGAACTCAGAATCAAGAGTGAGGACCCAGAAGATGCAGATGATGAAGATCAATGGCTAAATCTGCCTCCCATGCCACCGCCGACGCAAACCTCGCGATCGGAGGAGGATCTAAGAAAGCACAAGGAAACAGGGATCGGAGGTTTATTAGAAAGGAAGCCGGGAAGGGGAGGGGGAGGGAGGGAGAAAGATTTGGAGTCAGGCCCACTTCCGAGCATGATTTCTCAGCGAAAAAGGAGGACTAGTAGTCTGCACTGCCCGCTTGATGGTATGAACCCTGGGAATGAAGAGGGAGGTAGGCCCAGGGCGGTCTCTGGGCATAGCGAGGGGAAACCAAAAACGGTAATTACTGAAGGTCCAGACCCTTCTATTGATTGCAACCACCGAATTTTGATTGACGCCAGCACTGTCCGGAAAAAGGTTCACAGCCATCTTCCACCTTCATCCACCAACGCAGAGGATAACGAAGGTGTTTTCGAAGGTGTTCGTGGGTCCAGACGGGTGACGCTTGGTGGAGGTCCGGTCGGCGGTGAGGGAGCAAAGACAGTTAGAGGTGTGAAAAGTAACGGACATATGATGAGTCAGGATGGAGGCGATGATGAACGAAGGAGGTTAGGCCCACCTGGACCCGGGATTGGAGCGAGGCGAAGAAGTATGATGCTTTAGGGGCACGGTTGGCATGCCGGGCTCGCGAGGTTCATCTTGGCTCGTTTTCCGCACGAGATATTGTGCCCTTCCAGCAGTCGGCAGGCTTGATCAGCATCAAGGTTGTCTAGCCCCGGCAGCTGAGGCTACCTATTTTTCAGTCCGCTTTTGTGGCCATCTCGACAAGGCAATTGAGCCGGCAGGTTTCTTCGTTCTGTGAAAGCACCTGCACTAATTCCTGGATTTGTGCTCTTTCTTATTCGTATTCGTTTTTTGCATTACGGGAAGAGGCGTGTGGATCTTTTCTGTCTCCTTTTCCCTTAATGATTTCGACGTGAAAAAAAGGGGGCCCTTCCCCATTCTGTGTTCTGAGTTTTTTGTTTTTTTTCCGTCGGGGTTATACAGGTTCTTATATTGTATTCTATCTTTGTATGGGGGATGCCTTGTCTGTATATTTATTATCACTCTGTACGGTTCCCAAAATGTTTTCTTGTTGGTGTTGGAATCTGGATGTTTTAGCGCGGTCGGCAAGTAAAACGAGGTTAACGAGGCTAAATGAGCCGAGTGACAAGATATGATGTGGGTCCCTCTACAGATATTTCTGGCCGCCGCCAGAGGGGAGGACCGCTGGGAAGTGGATCCAGCAGGCGACCCCTCTCCTAAGTCGGGAACGAATGGTGTGTCGATGAATAAAGTGTAAATATTTTACCGGGTTATATTCGGGTTACTGAATATATAGCGTCCCTGTTATCACGCCCTAATGTTTACAAGACCTCATCGCTCTTTTCCGCACGGGCCGTGCGTTTCTCCTGTTATCCCCGTTTACTTGGATTTGCTTGCTAGCGTGATTGTGCTTCCGTTGGTTTCAGCCACCTTCGGTCAGGTATCGGTCGTGGTAGAGTCCCGGCACTGGGAATCGAGCCCTCTTTAAGCGGGCAAGGTCAGGTTGCAATTGATAGCCACAGTGATGTACTCCAATTGTCACTATATGCGGGCGTATACACATGTAAGAACAAACAGCCCCAGGCATTCGGAATTGCAAGAATGGGATCCGAAATCCTAGCTGCCATACTCCGGACCAAAAGACTCGATGAATATAAAAGAACCCCCACCCTAGCCAAGTTAAGTTAAACCTTGGTTTATCGAGTTCAAACAAAACTCAAGTTCAAACCCGAATTTAGTGTCCTATAATTGTTCGCTTACACATACTCATGGTTGACGCACAAACTCTGATAAACCACGAAATTGGCCTCTCCCCTACCCTCCACAACCAGGTCGCCCCCCACAGCATCCAAACCGCTCTCGTCGACTCCGGATACTTCCGCACTGCTGTCCTCGACGCCGATTACACTATTATCCTGGAAGACGCTAAAATTGAGGACCGTCGTGGAACAGGCGGGCAGGCAACAGAAACTATCGTGCAAAGATCCGGCTTTCCAACACCACCTCTCCTGGCTTAACGGGGGGGGGTGCCCAAGAATTCATTTGCCATTGGAGGGGCGATGCGGTTGAGGCGGCTAACGGAACTAACAATGGGCTTAACAAATCAATTGATTAGTGGGTGGAGGTGGATGGGAGTACGGATTGTCCGCCTAACCAGAGAGATCTATTCAAATAGAAGTGCAATTCCCTTACGGGTTAAGAGTAAAAAAAAGAATTAACGTAGGAAATAGGAGAGGGGGGGGGGGGTTAGTGAGGCCATTACCAAAGTGCTAGAGGTTGATTAAGGTGTTTTGATTAAGTTTAGTTAAGTCATTAAGTATCATAGCTATGGAAAAGCTCATGGATGATTTTTATGTGGGGTTTCGGGGGCGATTATGCAAAGTGCCTATATAACGCCTCAAATCACCTGTGGGTGCTTTCCCTATAGGATCCCCCATGTAGACTACCTCGTGAACCTGGCAGAACAGCATTTCTAATATGATAAAGGCCAATCTTTGCAAGATATCGTATCCGGTTCATCAAAAATACTAACCCGCCCATAGATAGCATAAGGCCTCAATCTCCAAGATACTATTGATGGGATGGTAGAGGACCTTATACAAATACCAACACGCATACAGGTTCTTATAAACTCGAATGTTATTCAAGGCTCCAAGGACTCTCCCTGTATAGAACCTTTAATAAATTCAGATACCAGTAACTAATCGAAAAGGTCCCATTAGGTGGTCTTGGGGACTCCTGGAGAGCTCTAACCCTTTCCCAGATTGCATTGCTCCCAGAAAACTCCACCCGTGGACGTTTTATCGTATGATATCGATCATGTTCGGCCACTAATGGAAGTCGTTTGGTAACGCGGTAGGGGGCGGAAGTGCACCGGGTTCGGGGGGGCTTCAGAACTAGCATTGCCCAACCGCCATGGGCGGAGCGATTTGCTACAACGGCACCTGGATAGAAATTTCTGCGATTCATCCCTTACGCCTCCTAGAGCAGTGAGACAGGAAATGTTCTCTCCCTCAAGGTGTCTTCCAAGACCAGGGTTTCTGTACGAGCATGGGAAGGCTACATTGCCGCGGACGTTACCTAGTTGACGTTCCAGAAACTCCGTACGAGCTGGAGATTAAAGTCTGATATGGGTATATACTATACTTCGGACATGCCAAAACCTCCCAATCCCCTTACTTCAAAGTTGAGCTTCGAGATCTCTATGGAGATATAATGTAATGGGTAGAGAAAAACAGTCAGTTTTGGTGTTTTTTGGCCCTTGTCTCATTACCAAAAACCTCCACTGCAGTGGATTCATTTTTTCTAGACACTTTCTGCTATAGGAGAACGAACAAACACTTTGCAAAAATCGCGTCTTATATTTTAATGACTGTTAGAAATTCCTGGACAGGAGAGACAGCCTACGCTAAGGAGATCCACGAGTCATTTACAGTGATGCGTTGAGGGCGTGCCAAGATATTCCTTATCTCGATTCATCTTATCTTGAAAAAGAAATGTCATTGGAAATCTCATGGAAAAGAGTGCCCCTCAACACCCCACCGGCTCTATCAAAATTCCCACTACTTGTATAATCCGCAACACCACGCAAAAAATGGCAGCTACAGCATCTCACGGGCCGGTTATGGCTAATACGTCAAGTCTAAAGGAGAAGCCTATGGCTGTGAGAACGGCAAACATCATTGCTGCCAGAGGTATTTTACCGTTACTGTCACTGAATATGTTCGATATCATAACTGACCCATTATGTCTACTCAGCTGTGGCCGACGCTATCAGGGTATATTGGGCTCTGTTGATGAGGAAATAGTTCTTACTGATGGTGCTTCACAGACTTCGCTTGGCCCGAGGGGAATGGACAAGATGATTCAGAATGGAAAGGGACATACGTTGATTACAAATGATGGGCATACTATCCTGAAAGATATGGCTGTAATGCATCCTGCGGCGAAGATGGTATATACCTCTTCCCTGGGGAAAAGCTGGGGATTGGACTTTCCGTGGGTTTTACTGATTGTGGATGCTCTTAGTTGGTAGATCTATCAGCCGCCCAGGACGTCGAAGCTGGGGATGGAACAACTTCGGTAGTCGTTATTGCCGGGAGTCTTCTAGGGGCTGCGCAGAAGCTTCTGTCAAAAGGCAATACACCCACCAGAAGGGCATAAGGGGTGAGGTGGCTAACATCGGATGATAGGCATCCATCCCACCGTCATCGCGGAATCCTTCCAGAGAGCCGCTGCAAAGGCTGTTGAAATCCTCACCAATATGTCAACCCCCGTAGCACTTGCAGACCGGCAATCACTTCTCGATGCAGCGAGCACCTCCCTTTCTAGCAAGATAGTTTCCCAGTATTCCACTCTCCTCGGGCCGATGGCCGTTGATGCCGTCTTGCGAGTTATCAACCCCGCTATTGCCGAAAACGTTGACTTAAATAATATCCGCATAGTCAAAAAGGTTGGAGGCACAATTGATGATACAGAGCTTGTGGATGGGCTCGTTTTGACACAGAATGTTTTGAAAGGCTCCGGAGGCCCATCGAGGATGGAGAAGGCGAGAATCGGGTTGATCCAGTTTCAACTATCACCACCCAAACCTGATGTTTGCTCACCCCCTAAATTGCCGGGATGAACGGGAGGTCGACATGCACTAACTGGTGGCATGACAGATGGAAAATCAAATAGTTGTCAATGACTACCGCCAAATGGACAAGATCTTGAAGGAAGAGCGGACATACTTACTTAATATGTGCAAGAAGATCAAGAAGGCCAAGTGTAACGTTCTATTCATACAGAAGTCGATTCTTAGGGACGCTGTCAATGATCTTTCGTTACATTTCCTGGCCAAGTTGAATATTCTAGCAATCAAGGACATTGAACGTGATGAGGTTGAGTTTATTTGCAAGGTCCGTACGCGATGGCTTCCTCATCTAGGTGCCATAACACCTGATTATAGGGTTACCTTCTAACTCTGGTTTGTAAACAGAGCACCGGATGCAAGCCAATTGCCGATATCGACTCTTTTACAGACGACAAACTTGGAACAGCAGACCTCATCGAGGAAGTGCAGTCCGCAGGAGCACGCATCGTAAAAGTCACTGGCGTCAAGACCGTCGGCCAAACTGTCTCAGTGCTGTGTCGTGGAGCCAACTCCATGATTCTTGACGAGGCCGAACGCTCCTTGCACGACGCTCTTTGCGTCATCAGATGTCTCGTGAAGAAGAAGTATGTTGACGCCCACCTTCGGTTATTACTTATCACTAACGGAGCGCCCAGGGCCCTCATTGCCGGCGGTGGTGCGCCTGAAATTGAAGTTTCCCGTGCATTGATGAAAGCCGCTACTGCTCTTACAGGCACCGAGTCGGTCTGCTGGCAAGAGTTTGCGGAAGCCCTGGAAGTCATCCCCACAACTCTTGCGGAAAATGCCGGCCTTAATAGCATCCGTGTCGTGACAGAACTCAGAAACAGGCACGAGAAGGGCGAGAAGTCTGCAGGGGTCAGTGTTAGAAGGGGCGCTGTCACCAACATCGTTGATGAGAGCGTTCTGCAACCGTTACTAGTGAGCACTAGTGCCATCGAATTGGCGGCGGAAACTTGTAAAATGATTTTGAGGATAGATGATATTGCGCTTTCCCGGTGAATTGGTGTTGGCGCATGGAAGGGTTCGCAGAATGTACGGCTAGAATAATGCTACCCCGAAAAGTCTTGTGAAGTGAATATCATAGTATTATGAGATAGTGAGGACCTCTGCAGGGTCCGAATAATCCTCAATTGGCCCATGCAAAGGTGTCAACCTCTCAACCCCTGAACACACGGCGCTGTCGAACCACTAAAAACTCATTGATAGCTAGTAGTTCGCAATGAGCGAGATGCTATGAAGTAGTTTGTAAAGCACAAGAACCAACTTTTTTTTTTTCCGTTACAGAACCATTATCAAAAACCCCTTACTCCCAAGGCACTGACACACCTCAACATTTATAGAATCCAAGAAAATCACAAGCAAATCATATTCTCTCTCTTTTCTTTTGTGTGAACCCCCCCCTCTATCTATCCATTACCACTGCCAGACTGACCTACCACTGTACAATTACCAACACGTTCAAATCAAAAATAATAATCAAATGTCCCACCCGTCACCCCACCCATCTGCATCGTCATCCCAGGCATCCGCCTTCACCTCCACCTTGGCCACGGGCGCGGGAGTAGTTTTCGTTCCAGCAACAATGGGTTTCATACCCATCGACTTATTCAGGGGCTTCCTCGCCGCCGCGACACTGCCCTTCACATTCGAAGGGGCGTTCACAACGCCTATCCGCGGTGCTGTAGGCTTCCTGGTAAGGCCCTTAGGAAGTGGGTTCTTAGATTTATTGGCCATAGAGGCGATATCCGGCTCTCCCCATTCACTAAACGACTCGGTGTTTGTTGGCTTGGATTTAGTGCTACCCGACGAGTCCAGTGCGTCAAAGAATTTATCTTCATCTAGGTCACCCCAGGCGTCAGGGTCGTTGTCTTCGTTGTCTTCATCACCGAGGAAGTTGGTGCGAGCTGGCGTTGTTGGCGAGAGGGCTTTTCTCTGTAGTGCCAGGGTGGAGGTAGTTCTTACTTCTGCGGATAGGCCGGGTCGGGTTTGTGCGGCCGCGATAGGTGCCGAGGCGGGTCGAGGTTCGCTGCCTAGTCCGCCCGGGGAGGCTGCTCTCTCGATTTCTCCACTAGCGGCGCTGAGTTTTTTTGTGAAGCTGCTGATTGCCCAGCCAGCCCAGGAGGATTCGTCCGTTTGGGCAGTTCCCATGCGAGGAGCCGCAGCCCCAGAATCGGTTGCAGCTGGGTTGGGCATGGCCGTGTCTGGGTAGTTTGCTGTGAGAGCCTTGATCCTCTGAAGAAACACCTCGAGAGTTTTATTGGCTTGAGCGCGGACGAGCCTAATTACAGTAAGAAAGTCATTCAGCAATTTGTCTCATGAGAGAGAGTGTCAGTCGCATCCTAGCACTCACTTTTCTTTATCCACTAAGGAAGGTGTGATTGCCGGAAGCAATCGCGCAGCACAATCATTTTCGTCAAATACGTCCGCAGTTGCGGCCAATGCCAGCAACGCTGCATTCCGAGCATGCACAAACGGGTCCCTGAGGGCTCTAGTAAATGCGGCAGTCAAAACCTTCTGGCGGGTCTATTCAACGAAACATCAGCACCCTTCCAGATGGCGTGCGGCAGTTGAAAATTTCTCACATTAGGACCGAGATTCCTCGCAATTTTACCCAAGCAAATTGTGGTATTTGTCCTGATCCCCGGTTGTTCGTCGTTTTGAGTCTTGGCGAGATATTTTAAAAGATCGCCGTTGACATTACGATCCGAAAGCTGCCCGGATCCTGGTCAGCCCGCAAAACATGGAAACAACCGAGGAGTTCACTTTACCTTCGGGACAATCACCAGCACAGCTTTGACGGTTTGTTCTCGCACTATCGGTGCAACGTCTGAAAACCCGGTCAACATCTCGGGGAATACCTTGTCGTTAACAACCTTGTTTGAAAGATGACCGATCATCTTCGGCAGATTATCCAACAAAAACACTCTAGTTGCTCGGTCCGGGATAGAGAATAGCCTGGCAATGCAGGGTGTAATGTTGGATTCCCATTCCTCGTCGGAAAGCTTCTCTCCGATTTTCAAAACCACCGAGAAAACCTTTGGTCCGCCTACATAACCCGTCAACCCTGCACTTTGATCGCCAAAACGCAGGACAAAACCTACCCCCTCCAAACTCCACACTCTTCAGCAATTCCGGCAATATCTTGGCTTTGAAGAAGTCTTCCGGAAACTGGTCTCCAGTCTCCTCGAGCTCGCGCAGGAATTCTTCTCGTTCCTTCTGATTCTTGACGCCCATATTCTCCACAAACTGTGCAACATGGATGAGTGGTGTATCAAAAAATGCTCTACTTCGGCTTCCTTGGTCTAGGAAGTGAGCCACTGACAGCCTGGTCTTTGGGTTTTGCTGTATAAGGCGTTTATATGATGGCACCATATTCGGCGCTATCCTCTTCGCCTGCGCCAGTTGCTCACTATTGGTGAAAGCCCCAGCGTTAAAGACCTCGTATATCAAAGTTCCAAAGTTCCAAGAATCTGCGGCGTGTATTGGCTGGCTACGAGAGGTACAGGTTAGCTATCGGATCTGGGTCCCATAGGAAATGCGGCCCACTTTCTAAGAGCATCCCAACCACCCTTCACTACCTCTGGCGCAGCGTATCTCCCAGAATCCGGCAATAAGCCACCAAATTTCTATCAGAGCTGTCAACAATGTGATGTGATCCCTGCGATGCAGTGGAGTTTAAGCGCACATATGTAACCGGGTCGTCATCTTTCATGGAGCTAAGAACTTCAAACCCAGCAAGCTTCCATTCACCACTCTCCGCAGTGTATATTGAGGAGGCTCGGATATTTCCATGGATGGATGCAGCCTCCTCATTAATAAATTTCAAGGTTATCTAGCGCCTCCACGAGTCAGGGCTGAACACACGTATTCATTAATAGCCATCACCAAATGAAAGGGGACACACGGCGGTACTGTGAAGCCCCCACTTGATCGTCTCTGTATTCAAAGCTTCCCTCCGAATATACCAGCTCAAGGGTGTCACCCTCTCCGTAGCGATATGTATGTAGGCATCCGTCTCCACCGAGTCTATAATCCTGACCACCCCCGGGTGTCGCAGTGTGCGTAGCTTGCGAAGCGCATTTCTAGCTAGCGGTAACCTGCTCCTGGTAGAATCATTGATCTCGAAGGAAAAGATACTACAATTTGAGCCGTCTTCCTGTATTATTTCAGCCCAAGACCATAGCTCCCCAAGCGATGGCAAGTACCTTCTTGGTCCCGTTGTAGAGACTCCAGATGGACCTGTCCACATCAACTCTGTCGCCGAAGGTATAGGGGAATGGAGGTCCTTTGGAAATGGCCGAAGCCACGGCCGATTTGAGAAAGTCCATTTTTTGGCCCCCCGACGAGGACCGTATTAGTCCAGGTGGGATAAATCTCGAGCTTCTGCGACGAAGACCCTAAAAAGAATCAGGGATGGGGGAGTTTGCCGGAGAGGCGGTGGGTTGCAATGGAGGTGGCCTCAAAACACGTGAAAATGTATCCAGGTAGTCTCATCTTATCTTATCTTTGATCATCAAGGTTTCAAATCCATCATGCCGGTTTCTGGTCAGCTGACAGCTATAGAGTGATAAAAGGTGATGCATGATGGTATGGCTCCGGGAATGAAGGGGGCCTAACAGCATTCCCTTTTTTTTTTTCAGCCCTCCAGGCCACGTGTTGTTTTGAGAAAACACCTGGTCTCCCCTATATAGAGCTACTTCCTGTTATGCCTGAGCTCATACGGTACTTAAAATTTATTTGCTAAGAGTCATGATAAGTTGCAAGTACTAGCGCTGAGTGGATCGCGAAACGAGTGGGTAGACTAGGGGTGTAGAAGCTTGAGTCTGAATGGATCCATCACCCTCACGGTACGGTATTCCCGGTTATCTCTTAGTCGCGTGAAGCTACCATACGGTACTTACCCAACACTGCCTCGTTAGCCAGGCTGCAGGGCCCTTATGGGTAGCTTTAGGGTGTTATCACCACGGTATGGGTACATCCCCGACGGATATAATGAATGTGTCGGGTTCTGGCACTGATGCCGTATCTTGATACGGGAGGACGCGACTGAATTCATGCATATCTTCCCGCTCAACTAGGTAGGGTTCTCTCTCGGCATTTACGTATTATAGCGGAGGCAGAGGTCCTGAAAATAACATGAATGGAAATCGATGTGCTCCGGTGCTGAGTTGCCAGCCCTCGTTGTGGTGGCACCTCCTCCGTTGGTGTGATATCTTTCGGGGGGACCATTTGGACTCGACACCGAATTCTCTTAGATAGTTAGGGTGTGGTCAAATCCCGTTACGTTGACAGTAGTCACAGTATAGGCAGGGAAGCCGCTAAGGCTGGCCACACGGAGTAGAAGTATCACACCGGGCAAACGGTGACACACAACCAGGTCTTGATAGACAGTGGGTCGATCTTTCCACCGTGGCCCATGGGCTTCTTCCGGAATGGCTGCTGGGGCCCCTCTTGGTATCACCACGTCAACGGAAATGGAAGGCCGATGGCATTTGCGTTCGGAGATAGTTATCGGGTAAAGTATCACAAGGGTTATGATACGGTCTAGCAGGCCGCCCTTTGAGAGCTAAAATTACATGAAGATTCACCGTTTGGCGCATAGTAATTGAGCGATAGCGAACCCCGGACCGGTGTTAGAGGAAACATTAGGCCTTTAGGCCCAGAAGCGGAGGGAAAGAAGTAGCACAATGATCGGGCAATGTATCATAGCATATCGACTAGGTTCACTCTTGGGTATCCCCAGCGGGGCCGCCGGATTGCTCGCTAAAATAAAAAAAAACTGTATATTAGTATCGGTGACGATGAGCAATTTCTGGAAAGGGTTTGCGGGGGATCTAACCCATAGAGTTTCGCAAGTTCTGGGATGGAGGACCTTGATATATAGATAGTCAACAGAGGCATCTTCCGCTTCTTCTGCAGAGTCTTTTCCTTTAAAACCTCAAAGGGATCGTCCTCATCTATATCGTCCTCTCCCCCCACCTGCGCCCCCTCCCCCCGGGTTTCCCCCACCCGCCTACCCTTCTGGTCCCCGTTTTTGCCTTTCCCCTCTCTCCTGCTCTTCCTGGGAGCCCTAAGCTCGACCATGACACCCTCGAGCTTTGTATATTGGAACCATGCTTCACCCTGGGTGCTGATACGGCGCTTAACGATCTCAGCAATGGTGATAGCTTTTGAAGCGACAGCGGACTTTGCGACAATCGCCACCGCAGGCACCGAAGATGTAGCTGGCGGCTGACTGGGGAAAAGGGTGGCCAAGCACCGAGTTGTCTTTTTGGATATAGAGTGTGATGAGATGATGGATATGGTGGGGATACTGCTAGGGTGGAAGGGATCCATTGCCCGAACGTAGAGTCTGGAATCCTTGGAAGCGTGGGCCAAGATGGGTGTTTGAATACCGGTAATAAGTTAGAACAAGTGTCCAAATCCGATGGAAGGCTCTGGTGTCGGGATGTTTCCTTTTCTTTTCTTCCTCCCTGCTCCTTTCGGAAAAGAGGTGAGCGTTAGTCATCAATGGGGGGGGTTTAAGCAGTCAGGCGTTACCGTCCGAGTACTCGAGTACCGTATGATACAGTGAGGCCAGGGGGGCTCGCCTAGCGGTTTCGCGGTATGGATAAGAGGATGAGGCTCTGATGTCCGCCGGACCCCCGGAACAAAAAGATCTCCGCCAAGAGGGACCGAGCGTGGCCTTCTGCCTCCCGGGTTGGCCAGAGAAAAAGTGTCTCACTCGGCTGTTTCGCAGCATGGCGCTCGTGCGAAGAAGCCGCAGAAGCCAACACTCTCGAGCTTTTTCTTCCTCTCTCGCCTGGATATGCCCCCAGTGGGATCGGTGAGGATATCGTATATCATATTACCGGTAGCGTCCCGGCATCACACAACTCATGGTTACATTAGTCGCCCCTAACTTACGGCGCTCGGTCCCGCACACACAAAGTTTGGGAGCGGTCGACTTTTGTTTTTTGTTTTTTTTTTATATTTTAGCTCGGACAAGGGCGGACCCTTAGCTACGGAAAAGTGTGTGTTTTCCTTCCCGCTTGCTGAGCTCGTTGCGGAGTTTGGTGCCATACAGCGCCATACGCGCCCTTCATGTATGATACTCGACCACGGGGAAAGCATCCACTCCTCTCACCAGCACTCTGGCCCTATTTGCTTGGGGTATTTGATTTTCCATTTTTCGTCTACTCGTACAGTAGAAGTTTGCGTGCTCGAGCACCGGCAGTCTTCGAAGCAGCCCACCACATTATCGGTAACCAATGGGAAATATGTCAGGTCTCCCCAGTTTTCCGCCCGAGGTGACTGCCTGGCGTTCAATCTCTTGGTATCAGGTTGACACGTAGACAGACCAGTACCGGTGGTGGGCAGCAGACGCAGAAGTAGGTACTCGTAGAGGCAGAATCAAGAATCAGCAGAAGCAGAAACGGAAATAGATGCAGAAGCAGAAGCACCTCCAGCATGAGATCAATAAAGAAGCCGATCAAGGCAGTCCTCCCCCCTCACTCCCCCCCCTCTCGTTGAACCCCCTCTCTGTGGCTTGTCAGATTCCCCCGCTTGGATGGCTATCGCACGGGTATCTGGTAAGGTACTTTTTGCATATCGAGAGAAAACGCTCAGCCGTTTCTGACGTTCAAACCTGCGCTACTGGTAATGGACTCGACCGAGACACAGAGCCCGCGAACATTCTCGCATGATATCATACTATGATGAATATCCATATAGAAAATCAACCCTTCATGGTTATTTCTAATCGGAGGAAGAGAAGCAATAATTGGTTACGGTATCATGGAATGCCGATACCGGTAACTCCAATCACAGTATTTTCCTTCTCTTACGATCCATCTGATTCCGCCGTTGGTTACCCCCAGCGGTTGTCCCACCACCAGCGAGACCAGCACCACCACCACCACCACCACCACCACCACCACGTCCGCTCGCCAGCTTCCCTCGCAGCTCCCCCTTGTGCCCTGGCCAAACAAATTCTTCCGCTCTCCACCACCTCCCTTGCCCCCAGCCAGTCAACGGCAAACCCAACACTACCATCACCACCTGCACCTGCCCTACTGCTGCCTCCTCCTTGCAACCCTTTTTCACCACTAAGATAGTCCACCGAATACCCTACACCGAGCATCCCCCCCCCCCTCTCCGTTCACCACTATCCACTCGACCTTGACCCCGACTTGCTGCAAGACCGCTTCTTCTTTTTTTTTCTTTCCACCGTATCTCCCTCTCGCTTTCCTGCTGTCAGTAGGTTCAACGTATGAATACCCTTACGTTGGGGACGGTCGCGCATCATCCCTGATTTTCACACGCCGCTTCCTGCCTTGACAATAAGCTCCCTCGACGATAACCAGCGGGCGATCTGGGGGCCAACCAAGTAGCATCAGCCTCTTTGTTGCTCCCCTCGTTCGTTCGCTCGACAGCTCGCCTACTTGCTCGTCTCCACGCCTTGCCTCTCCTCCTCTCTCATACCACCACACCTTTAATTTAACACTTCTCCCACTTTTTTTTTTCTTCCCTTCCCGCTTCTTCCTTCGCCCCTCATTTATTCCCCGCTGTTGTTGATAAACTTTATATCTATTACGCTTTTTTTGTATTTCTTTTCGAGACATTCTGCTCTCAGGTTCAACAGATTCAGCTCGTCGCCGCACGCGACGACAAACGAGCCCCGACACCGGCAACTCAGCAACGTCATGGCTGCGACGCCTCTCGTCGCTGCGGCGGTCGCTCCAAGAACCGAACACAGTCCTGCAGATCACCACCGAAAAATTATGAGATCAAGAAGCCTTTCCAACCGGGAACAAAGACCTCCGGCGAACAAAAAAGTCAAACTCATGACGAGTCCCTCGCAGCAGGCCCCAAAACCCAAAGGAGCCGCTAAGTTTGCAGATATGCCGAAAACCATTGTTGGGGAAGGTGGATTTCCTATTGCGGACGCGGCTCTTGGAAAAATTGCTCAAACTACAGCTTCTGCGGGGCAACAGACCGAGGATTGCACAGGTAATTCCATCTAAAAATATAGTACACAGGGCGATAATTGGACCTTGTAGTTTCCAAGAATGCGAACAAGTTTGAGCTTGCTAACAGCTACCAGGTTCGGCAAAGGAGGCTACCAAAGTAAAAGCAATTCGCCAAACCCTCTCGGAGCAGTTTGACATCGAGATTCTCTTAAAACATCGGGAGTTGCGACTTATCGAGCAGGAGATAGCGAAAACCCAAGTTTGCATTGAACAACTTCGTCGTTGTACCTTGATCCCTTATCACGCGGAGGTCTCACTGGACCCGGTTGCATCCGGTGAGAAATCTGCAGATACCGGCTGCCCGGAGTTTGCCCCACCCCATTGGACAATTACCAATGGGCCTTACACAAGACACTATCAACAATGGCTGCTTCCCGACCCCAAATTTGACGGGTATGGGCCTGAAGGGCCACCGCAGGCGTTACAAAGAGGTGGAAAGAGTCTTAGGAGTCAGGGTATACATGATTCAAACCAGTCTTACACTGTCACAGGGCGGCCCCAGAGGCAGAGTGCGGCAAAGGTACAGCAAAGGGGTGCAAGTGCTACAGTATGCACTTTCAACCGAAGCGATGGCCAACTTGTTCGGTATGTTTTTCAGTCGCAGCGGGCGTTGTTCTGGCTTTTTTTTGTTTTCTTGTTAGGTAAGTGTACAAAGACTAACCGCATGGTTTAATTAAAGAATGGAATGCCGTGATTGTCAACGCAGCAATTTCAGCTCGGCACAAGGTTTTATCAACCATTGCCGTATTGCCCATCAGCGTGAATACAGCTCTCACGATGCTGCTGCGTTTGACTGTGGCGTGGTGATTGATGAAACTGCGGAGCAGCCATTGGTTTCGCCCAGCCTGGCAACCCCGCTTGACGGGCCATCCCGGAACACTCGACAAACACAACCCAATCCATTCAACACACCCTACACTTCTTTTGGCTCCAGCAGACGCAGCAGTGTAATGGAAAATGGTTCGATGCCCGACCTGATAATTCCTACCACTCCTGTCCCTGTGATGCCTAGATTAGTTACTCCGAAAGCTACTTCCAACGCAGGTCAAAGGAAAAACGGTGGCCGCCGAGCTACTATGACTACGCCAAAGACTCAGGATCTGGAGAAAGGTGCGAGAAGGCTCTTAACACCGCCTCTAGACACCAAGACTTACCAAACACCGCATTTAGAAGGTCTCCTGAAGAGAAAAAAAATAAGAGTCAACCTGCAGCAAATGGTAACGGAGGTTAAGAGCGGAAGGATTAACTGGGATGATGAATCTGGTAGCGAAATCGAAGCAGGTGCTGGTGATAAAGCGGGGAAGCTGGGTACGGACCTGGATACCCCGATGTCGGACGCTCTCGTTAGCCCAGGTCCGCAAGAGGAGGGTGCGGTAGCGTTGGTAGAGCCCGGGAATAAAAAAGGTGCTGCGATTCTGGCAATGAATGTCGCCTTCCCCAGGAGCAGTGGCTCTATGAGGCCGGCCGCCTCAGAGACTGCCACTGTTCTACCGTCCATGGGCACCAGGGTGCCTGCGGTGGCATCATTGCAAGCGAAACCAGCCTCCAAGAGGAAGAACGACTTGTCGTTTTATGACAGGATGGGGTTGGACGGAGCCTGTGATTCTGGGACCTCATCGAGTGATGAGGACGACGGATACAGGAGTGACGCGGAAGAGGAAATTATGGAAGCCGAGAGATCACCGCCTCTTTCTGATGGAGGCCGGATTCCAGGGCCTATACACAATCACGACGGATTGAGGTACGGAAAGGGGCCCCACACCCTACCTCCCCTCACCTTCCAGGCTGTCAGCCCGCCGGTCTCTCCGACAGATACCCGCGAGATGGAGCTGGAGCCGACCGCCCCATCTCACCAACAGCAGCAAGTCACCGCGCTCTGCCAGCCTACACCTACCTCACCGGGGCTTTCGAGGCAGGTTCGGTTTGTCATGCCCAACGCTAGGAAAATTGGAAACAATAATCCGAGCGGTGTGTTGGAGAACGGGTTGGCAAAGATGAAATTTGCGAATGCGGGGACGATCAAGAAGCACGGGGGTTTCAATGGGGTTATGGAAGGGAGAAGAGTTAGCTAAGCTAAGCTAGCTAGTCGCGCATTAGAGAAAGTAGAAGGGAGAAATTAGGGGGGCCTGCTGTCGTTTTAATACCAGGAGGTGGGGAAGGTGAAAGCATTTAATGTGTCGATAGATTCTTGTATCGCTTTCTTACTCTCTCCTCCTGAGCCATCATGCTCGTTTTCATATAGCCCTGGAGGAGCCGATGTTTGGTTTCTTGTTTTTCCTTCTTGGTCTCTTTTACCCTGTCTCGTGCTTACAAATGATTGACCCAGTTTGTCAAGCTTTGAATGGTAGATTCTGTTTGTAGTCTTACTTCATGCCTTGAACTCTTTTTTCTTTCTCTTTTTCTCTTTTCGTTTCGCGCCGTCTCCTCCTTGCTCTTACTCGAGTACCTTCCCTCACCCTCACCCTCCCTACCTACCTCTACTTCTCACCTCTTACTCTTTTCACTAAAAAAAAAAGCACACCTCAGCTAGTTACCCAAATAAACCCTACCCTTACCCCAACCTCCCCTCTCACCACCGCCCCTCCCTCCGAGCCACATTACATACAGCGCTCGCTCTAGCAGCGAAAGAGAAAAAAAAGTCGATCAATCAATCTATTACATAAGTACACATGAATACATAATAATGTGTGTGTAGAGTACAGTACTCGATTGTTACTAGCACTCTTGTCTGGTTTTTTTCGGTTTTTGTTTCACCGCGCATGCGCGTTTTTGAATTTTGTTTCAACACCTTCAGGTAGGGAGATAATATCATGTAATCTAAATGATGAGTAGGGTAGGGATATTGGGTAGACTTAGGGAAGTAACTTAAGGAAGGAAGGAATTATTATAATATTATGCGACTCTAGCTACGGCTATGAGGGATAGGTTAGTCGTGGCAGTCGATCGTGCCCAGGTGCCGTATTCGTATATTCTGATACGGGTATCGTACCGGTATCGTACCGGTATCTGGGTGGATGGGAGACGGTGGTTTGAATGTGTTTGATAAAGTGGATCTTGGGCTGTGTAGGCGACATTGGACCTACGATGCGCTCCCTATACCGGTGCTGAAGCAACAGTAGTCAACTTTTCATACCACAATCTTGCCGGTAGGGGAATCATAGGCCTTCCGCACTGGATTTGGGGATTGGGTGGATACACACTCATGAGATGTCACTCGCAGGTTTTTTTCACACCAGGAGATCTACAACACTACTGTCACTCCCCATGGATTTGTCCGTCGGAATGCCGGCCATTTTCTCGGTGGTGTTATTAGTTGCGCTTTATGCACGAGGGCTGCCGCACCGTGTATTTTAGTTCTAAACTAACGTCAATCTCGCCTTACAGGCGTACAGGACGAGATATTTCCGCCACCAATATCCGTCGGAGCGATGCAAAAACGGCCTACCTAGGTAGAAGGGCAAAGAGAGAAAACATAGCTAAGACATACAATTTATCAGTACAGAAAAGGTGATCATGAAATCTTCCAGCAAGCTATGAGCTATCAAAACTGGTAAAGTTAATCATTAGGCTGTCTTAAAGAGCTTACAGATCCAGTTAATAATATCACCAGTAAAGGGGACAAAGGACAACTGAATCAGAGATCGGAAATGTGGGGTAAAAAATAAATGACGGCAAATGAGCTGGGCCCGGCCGAGCGATGGTATGAGACTGCACCAAGCAATCCTAAAGGGATATACCGGCACGTCCCATTATCACCATTCTCAAATCCTCATGCCAGGGAGGTCCATCTGAAGCTCGTCGATGTCGTCATCTTCACAAGCAATCTTCGGCTCCAGTTTGACAGTTTTTGCCTTCCCCACATTCTTCTTCCGCTTTGCGTTGTGGGGTATACTTTTTAGTGATTTCTCCCTCTGTGGTTTGGCCTTGCCCTTTTCGCCCTGCCCGCTCCCATGCATGCGCCGGGTACCCAATGAAGCACTGCTCCTAGTGCCCTTGTCTGCACCTGCATCTGGAATACTATTATCTTGCCTAAAGTCTTCGGTTTCCCCCCCCGTTTTCAGGGCATCTGGATAGGTTGCATCCCGCGAATTTGCTCTCACTGGCAATAAGTCAGGAGAGGATTTGCAACTATCCCGACCGTCCCATGAACCCAGGCCGTCCTCATCTAGCCCCCCGCTGTGTACCAATTTATCGCCCCCGACGCCGCGGTGTCTTATGTCGCATGCGGTGTGAACGGTGGAAATGCTCTCGGGCTTGTTCTGTACCACATCCGCGGCGGATCCTTCAGTACCCGACCCCACAGTTGAGTCCATATCAGCACCCCCTACTGGCTCGAGGAGCTGGGACTTGGAATTTCTCTTATTCCCGGGCGGGAAGGGTTTTCCGGGTGGTTTCTTTGGGTTAGTCTTGCTGTGCGTTCTGAGTTGACCCCTAAATTGTCTTTTTGACGTTGACTGCCCGACGGAGCCCTGGGAAACGCTCTCATTACTGTCAGATGTGTAAGCCATGAGGCTATCAGCAGCGCCAGCAATTGGCGATCCTCGTTCATCCGAATCCACCCCCAAGTCTCTATCTCCCGATCCTGCGCCGTATCTAAACTTCCGAGACTTGTTTTCAGTGCCGGTGTTTTTCATAGTAAAATCCACCCCTCTCGCTCGGGCTAACAAGCTTTGTGTATGTTGTGCTCTAGTTTCCCAACCGTACGGCTCTTGAGCACTTCGATGCTTCTTTGGTATTTCTGCGATGTAGTCTGAGCTCTCTCCAGCGAAAATTCCATGCTCAAAGCCACCGTCTCGGCCGGAGGCAAATGGGTCTTTCACCGACGAATCTCCATCGCTCTCGCACCCAGACTCATAGCCAGCAGTTGTAGGCGCTGGCTCATATCCCTTTCTTCTCTTTTTCACCCTCTCGACAGGATATCGAGGGGAGAGAGTTTTCCGGACCCCACCTCTAAAAGTCTTTTTCAGAGGTTTAGGAGTCACTCCCTCGTCGTGAGAATTATGTCCTGTACTGGGGGAAGACGAGCCCATCTTAGCGGTCTTTTTCGTTACATATCCTGCCTCCTCACGCACCCGGGTCCCGGCTCTGGGATTTCCAACGGTCATCCCGTGTTGACCGATTCCTGATCGTGCGGGAGGTGTGTTGGGTGGCTTGCCGACCCCTTTGCCTGCGGCTCTAGTAGAAAATCGTCGGAAATAATCCTCAGAAATAGGGCTTCTGGCTTTAGAAGGAGATAGAGGATATGGGAAGTCTTGGCCCTCCAAGCCAGGTTCATAGTGACGGATCTTATGAGGACGCGGGGGTGGTGCACCTGTAAGATGAATTCTCCGACATTAGCACCCAATCTTGAGCTTCATTCCCAATATATAATGAAGGTAGCAATCCAGAAATCTGCCTCGGATACGTACCGGCACTACCTGTATTACTTGGACTTGTAAAATCACCTGTGACAGCAACGGAAGTGTTCCTTAGAACTGGATAGTTGACAGACTTTTCTGCTAGCACTACCTTCCCAGGTAGTGATGGCCAAACTGATTGTTTGGCCTCCTTGGTATTGGCTGACCCAGTAGACAGCTGGGAAGTCGGGGTAGGAGGATCAGCAAATGGATCCTCTCTATAATCATCACTCATGTGACGGGTACTATCAAACTGAGAAGGCAGAAGAGATTTCTCGGCCATTGGTGGTAAGTGCGGAAGCGACAATCCCGCAGCTCTGATACGCCTAGGAACTATTTCCACTGTATGATTAACCAGAATGTATTTCTCCATCCGCTAGAAGACAGCATACCGGTAGCTCTAGGCTCTTCATTGGGATTGCTTCCCTCAACTGTGTCTTGAAAAACCTTGAAATTGGCAGAATTCGAACGAGAGATGCGGCCGTAGGTAATAGGCTTGCGATGCCGGCTCTGGATTGGTGGAGGAGCCATATTTTCGGTCAAATGGATCGAACGTCCTCAAGGGTCTCTTTGGGGGAGGGCTGAAGCAGGGAAGGGGGCGGCCCAAAAAAACCTCGGTGGTCCGGAACCTCTTTCTTGTGCAGACAGGCTCACACTGCATAGGGGGAGCTGGGGCTTGCGTCGTGGAAATGGGCGTAAAGCGTGACGATTTATTCAGAAGCACTCGTAACATCAATCATTGACATAGCATGTGATGCTCTGGTATGACAACTTACAACCACAATGAAGCCTCGGATTTACTTGCCGTTATGCCAGAAAGTCTTGTTCAGAGATCGCAATCCCCCAATTCTATTTACCGGCTCGGAAACTCCCCGACTGTCCATACAACAAGGATTCCAGGAGGATAGTACTTTTACTAGGTATACAGTAGTAAACTACCCTGTTGGTGCTGGAAGCAATAGGGGCCAAGCTCCAAGACAATTAGTGCTCGGCATCGGTACTAGTACCCTAAGCTTGTGGTATGATTAGCGTTGTTGGCACTAAGTCACGGAAAGTTGTGCCAGGGCACAACGCCTCAGATCGATGTGCCCGGCACGGCACTATGTAGTGCCCAGGCAATCCACATACAAATGAAATGATTCTTCTAAGGGGAAGGACATGAGAAACTATCTACAAATCCAATTCACACTGAACATCACCCATTTCCCATCCCTATGGGTCCTTGCCCCGCTGAAGTGCCAGAATATCGGCCATCTTTTTTGACAATCATATTGTGCCACTAGCAGGTTGTGCCATCAGCTAATCTCACTACCGTACACTCTGGCATTTCGTAGTGCCAACAACGCTAGGTATGATACTACCACAAGCTCCCTTCCCTCAATTTTCCAGATCCTTCTTTTCACCTCTCTGGTTAGGAAGATGGTTGTGGGGTAAAACATAAAATCTAGTTTCACAACCCTCTCCCATGAGGCCAAACTTAGAGATTTATAAGCTTGTAGGGAGTGCCTTATCATCAGTAAAAAAACACTATAGCTGGTACCATACTACAATTTTATTGCCTGCTTCCATGGTGGCATCCTTATTTGTATAATCATAAGAGATATCAAACAACTACTACTCCTAGTTGACATAGCTGCAATCCAACCAAGATAAAATCTCTTGTTAAGTTTGTTGGAATTTCTGCTATGAGTATCAGTCCACTCAGACCATGCCTTTCTAAAGAATGCAAAGATTTCTTAGTCTCTCAACAAAGCATAAGAGTTGTTTTAGGCTCCGTTCAGCATGTACCAATAAAAATATATTGCAATAAAAGTTGAAAATAGCATATATGCCAATAAAAAAATTCAGCAGTAAAAAAATATATATGTGTTCGGCAAACATGCTGCAAGTGTGTGAAAAAAAAAAACAGAAATTGTAGTCACACAACTTAGCTTAGGGCAGATATCCATGATAAACTATACTGTAAAAAAGCTTTTAACTTCTTTTATAGTTTTTCTACTGTCCTGTAGAATTGTTCAAGTTTATCTACAACTATGTAATTGGTAAATATGTACCAATTAGCCTCTACCTTCTGAGCTTCTCAGTCATAACAGGTATATCTTCATGATTTTTATTCTACTCTTAGTTTTAGTAATAAAATCCACAATATAAAATTGGAGGATAATAATTGAAGTTTATTTATAATCAGGAAATTACAAGTAACTAGATAGAAATAATAGTATAGAGTTAATTCTTATATTTACTTTTCTCAATTAATAAATGAAACTCTTTATTATAGTTTAAAAGTTTATATATTTTGTGAGTGCTATCTCATGGTTCTAAACCTAGCCCTAGTATAAAAATATACAATAAATTTTTATATTGGCAATAAAAAAATATTGTCATTAAATTTTGATAACAAGTACCAAACACACCCCAATATAAAAACTTTTATATGCCAAAAAATATGCTATAAAAGTCATTTTTATACCATAAAAGTGACATGCTGAACAGAGCCTTAACTTGTTTAATATATACTCTCTTGTCAATTTCAAAGTAAGGTCAATAAAGAAACTAACAATACTTACTTTAAAGTTATTTCTCTGTTGTTGTTAATATCTACTAATAGAATTCTCTTTTTCTGCTTACCTTTCATATTTTAGGAGAGGATGCGCAGTTAGTCCCATACCATAGAAACTATAGTAGAACTAGAGTATATTGATGGTACTATATTGAAATACATATATATATATATTTAGCACTTTGGGCCTTTATGCCATAACTTAGGTTGAATGAATTCATTGAGCCCTAGTACTGTGCAGTACTATGCCTAACCCAATTCACGGACTTTTCTTTTTCTTAGAAAAAAGAGAAACAGTACTAGTATGAATATCATCCTGGCAATTGGAAAAACTCAAAAGTTGCAACATTTTGATAAGGTACAATTAAATGAAGCGCTACATACATCCCTGCCCGACCACTGCCATAGAGCTTTACCATAAAGCTAAATTATCTTCTAAGAAGTGTTACTATGGTCTATACTCGGTCAGTCATACGGCAGACCAGCCACCGATACCTGCATGGCGAGTTCCAGCCGCGTTGCGGTCTCATCGGAAGCTCCCTAAAACCGGGTAACCACACTTTCCGCAAAAATGGTGAAAGGTCCGGAAGGCCAACTTGGCATTAAACCGGCTTCTTCTTCGCGTTTCCCTACGGTACTGGCACGACCCCTATTCCTTTATTTCGTGGCAACTCGACAACCGACCATGCTTCCTTCAATAGCTTCCCCGTTGACCTTACTGCTTGCAGCATCATATGTACTCCCGGGCTTTGGGCTATACTTCTACATTGACGGGATTACGCCAAAGTGTTTTTTTGAGGAGCTGCCAAAGGACACTCTAGTAGTCGGTAAGTGTCGGGTTCCCCTAGGATTATTCGGATTCGCAGAACAATGTTTAGTTGTTGGGGAAGGATAGATCACAGACCATTGGAGAGGAGGGGCGGAAAAGGGGTGTATAGACTTGACGGCTAATTCACAAAACTATGGACAGGTCAATACACCGCCGAGGAGTATAATCCACATATCCAAGCATACAACAGCAACCCTCAACTTGCTATTCAGATCACTGTCGATGTATTTAGACCTACATATACTTTGGGAATAAAGAGGCACATCCCTAACCTCGCTTTAGGAAACCTTCGACAATGATCACCGTGTCGTAAACCAGAGGGGATCCTCCTCCGGGAGATTTACCTTCACCGCCGGTGATTCCGGCGAGCATCGTCTTTGCTTCTGGGCTTCGCACGCTTCTAGTGGTGGTTGGTTTTCGAACCACCCGGAAGGTGTGAAACTTACGCTTGACCTGGCAATTGGCGAGACCAGTGAAATCGAGAGCAAGGACAAAGATAAGTTGGCAGATATTGTGCAGAGAGTCAAGGACTTGAACTCTAGGCTTCAAGACATTCGGAGAGAACAGGTTTTCCAGAGGGTAAGACGGAATTTTCCCCTATCACACGGTGGTGGATAGCCCAAGTGCTGATCAATTACTCAATGCAGGAACGTGAAGCCGAATTCAGAGATCAATCTGAGTCCACCAATACTCGTGTCGTCCGATGGACATTAATCCAGCTTGCTCTCCTCGGCATCACCTGTGCTTGGCAACTGTCCCATCTGAGACAATTCTTTATCAAGCAAAAGCTCACTTAATCCATACCTCCCCAGAGCACCATTGTCCCACATTTGCCTACCACCTCTCTTTCTCTTGTTCCCTGGATGTTGACAGAACTACCGTTATATTGATCGTGGTGTAGAGAAGCGCTTATGGGACGGTTTTGATTTGTCCTTTCCCGTGTCACAGTTTCCTTTGTCCCTTATACAATAAGCAAGCATGTTTTGTTTTTTCCACCCATGGCGAGGGAAGTACCTCAATTTACAAACTTTTTTTTCTTCGAGAATAGTGGGCCGGTGAAATGGGCGCTCCGAAGGGATGTTTCATCTTTCCTCTTTTTTTGAAATGTGAATGTTGCGAAAGAGATGCGATTACCACAGTATTGTGGTGGGTTTCAATGATAAAGTGTGAAGTAGGCATGATGTCTTTCCCCATCAGTTGCGGGCCGAACCTAGATCCCCCCCAAGAGCCAGTTTGCCCGTTGAGGACATACTAGTACCGGCACCCGATTCAAGCACTGCGGCACTATGCTCTAGTACCCCCCTTTATAGCATTTCCGGCGTAAAGCCATCTTCCCTTAACCCCAAAATCCTTGATTCTATCGTACTTACAATGCCTGATTGGCATGGTACGATGGAACATCAAACAGCATTGCATATCATATTACCCCTTGTATCGACTGCTGCACGAACACGGGACTGCTCTAAGCTATGTTATAATAACAGCACCGCTCTATTCTCAGTATTTTTGAGATTAAGTTACACACAATCCAAATATGATATGATATGATACTATATGCATTAATCCATAACCTATTCTGGCCGCTGAGGGCACATTTATATCTTCGTAGTAAAGTCCGATGCCAAGGTTAGCGCTGGATGCCGTAGGTGGATAAATGCCATTTACTGTCTGGTCCACCATAGCCCTCCGGATGCACCACCAGCAATGCCCTCCATGGTCCCTCCATAATATATATATATATATATATACATAGCTACCTACTGCAACTATCAGGCGGGAGGATACGCAGCGTACAAACCACGAGTTTATACAACGGGACTGCAAAATGTGCTAATCACTAAGATAATGATGTGTCCCATAATTTAGAAAAGTTCACCCAGCGACGTCAGAGGGGGTTTTTCAGGAATCCACAAACTTCCACCTCGTCTAGGGGGCATCAAGGTGGCATCTTGGAGGTGGAAAGGGGGGGGGAGGGGGGCAAGTGGAAAAGAAGTCTCAAACCAGTTGCAAACTGGACCTTTAGTATCCCGGCTGATATATGACAAACGATACTCTGTAAGTTTAACGACCTGTATGTACGAGTACTGTACAGCCTGCCCCTGACCCGCAACCGGGGAAACAGAACCCACCCACCCACCCACCCGTCCCGTCCCGTCCCGTCCCGTCCAGCTTTCCGCTTTTGTTCTCCTCCCCCAAGTCCCAGGCTATCGGCAGATAACTCTAAACTTTATCGCCCAACGCCTTCCCGCCTCCCCTAGACCTCCTCCCAACTATACACTATACACAATCCCCGGACTCTCGTACTTACTAACTAGTGTCATACCATTTCCCCTCTATATGCCATTCCGCACTTACCGTCACAAAATCCAAGTTGAACGGTTAGGAACGTAGTGGACCTATACTAAGTTACTCCCCACGCCCCGTACAGTACGGTACACATCAAAGAGAGCCCAACGGCGGTATCAACCGGTACGGTACCCGTTACCGGAAGAGGGCTAACCGGCTGACCGGTTTGTTCCCCGGGGGTGGGGGGGGAAGCACGTTCGTATGGAGCGATGGTTTGTGGTGGTAGTGGGATGATAGATAACATCGCTGACAATTGATCATACCCGCTGAAAACCTAGGGGAAGGGGGAAGAGATACAAAGAAAAAAAGAGAAAAAGAACTTCCCCGGTCCAGGCGTGGGAGGTGGGTAAGTATTGATGGGATTCTTCTGTGTTGGGCGCTCCTATTCTGGAAGTATTCCCATGGAGCACAGTAACGACTATTTTATGTTATGTGGAGTTGTTTTCTTTACGAGGGCTAGAGGTGAGGGTGTTTTTTCCTCGTTTGTTTTTGGTTTCTTCGAATAAATATTTTTTGGCTATGTTGAGTCGTACTAGATGAGTTAGGTATTCTCACTCGACAAGTATTATCGTGGTTGAGATCGGTAGACTTAGTGGACGCTGGAGAAGTGGATAGATAGGCAAATCGGTTGGTTGGGAAAAGCAGTATTGACCAGATCTCGCTACCAGATATCTTGGGCTATGCAGGATAACTTTGCTACCGTGTACTCCACAGTATTCACAAGAACCTACGGGAAACCTTTTACATGTCCCATCTAATCCATCCACTCCAATCTCATTTACACACACATATACAAGCCACCCTCATGCAATAAGAGATATATAGATAAATATGTATGAGGAGAATAGTAGCGGTAGGAGGAAAATAATGAAAGGATAACCCCCCCTTTCCCCCTGCAGTTCAGAGTGATATGGATAAAGACGGCGGACACAGAAACAAGACAAACAAATTCACCCATGCATCCACACACTTTGCTGTGCCATCATGATCCAACTAAGCCAAAGCGGGTATCGCCGGTAATGAAAACCACTTTCCTTCCTTGCCCCCTTGCTTCCTTCTTTCTTCCATCCAGAATACCGACCGACAAACCAACCGGACAGAAAAACAGAGGGTCAGGTTGACAAAGAAGTAGGTCGATAATTTCTAAACCGCAATCCAAATAACCGAGATAACCACATCAAGGCCTTTCCCACAGCACCCGGTTAGCCCAGTGCATACTCTGCTGTTGCCAGCACCGCCAATGCCGCCACCACTACCAGCAGTTTTCAAGCAACGCTGGGGAGCAATACCTCTAGTCTCGTACTTGAAACTCCACATCCCGTCCTTCTCGTTGTTCCAATAGGCACCGCAGGCGCTGTGCATTCCGCGTCTGCCGACGCCGGTGTTCTCATTGCTCGCACGGCCGGAGGTGAGTTCGCTGCCGACACCAGCGCTAGCGGCGGCGGCGGGGGAGACGGGAGAGGCGGGGTCCTGGGAGGTGGAGGTAGTGGTGGCAGCAGAGGGAGAGCTAGTAGAGGTGGAGGCGGTTTGATAGTTGAAGTTGCGCTGAGCCATGTGCTGGATGATTGTGCTGTTCACGGAGAACTTGTAGGGAGAGGAACCAGGCCCGGCACCGGTAGGGGTGGACTCGGAAATCAAGGCGCGCAGAATGTGGTTCTGGTTATCCCCTGAAGGTTAGCTGTGTAGAAGGTAGTTGGATGAGGGAGGGAGGGGAGGACGATGATGGTGTTGTTCCACCCCTCGGTGCGGGAATGGTCGTAGACTTCGACTTTCTCGAGAGCTGCGAAGCAGGCCTTTTAGCCATTTATTAGCTTTCCTGTCCCCTTCTTTTTCACCCTTGAGGGAAGCTAGGAGGGGTGGAAGGGTGGCGTACGTCGTTGGCGATCTGTTTCAATCTCTGGAGAGGGACGGGCTAGTGCATTCATGTTAGTGCTTGACATCATCGTGATAGGTATAGTAACATTAGGAGATCATTGTGACTTTACCGAATTAGCCCCAGTAGGATGCGGAAACCTAGACTCAGACATCCTTGAGGGTTAGAGTAGATGGTATTCGTGGCGAAGTTGGCGCGTGTGTGTGTGTATGTGAAAGAAGTCAGGGGGTGTGGCAAAGGTGGGGGAGAAAGGAGGGAGTGGTCGAGGGGAGGTGGAGATAAATTGGCAAGGTGATGGAGCTGGAGGGCAAGCTACCGGTACCTTTTCACGTGTAAGGTGGGTTAGGTTACTGGTGCGATAGGCCAGGGACGATGCCCAACAATGTTAGATGGTGGGGGTGTGAGGTGGGGTTGCTGAGTGCGGAGTGGTGGGGGAAACTACTGAATGGATCAGGGCGGCTCTGCTGTGCTCCACCCACACACAGATGGGTACAAGAAACCCCAAACCCTGTGGCCGTCGGCGGCGGGGGGGTTTAGCAAATATGTTAGTAAGGTGATGATGATAATGCGAAAGAAACCATCCAATCAGCAGCAGACCGTTACGCGAGTGTGCAAAAAAGCCCGCACGCCAAGCTCTACTTCCGCCCGTCCCTTTTCCCTCCACCCACCGGATCACCCGCCACTGTCTTCTCTCTCCCTCCGTCCATTCACACAATACCATACTCTGTCGAGGAATTTTCTTCTCGACACCTCTTCTTCTCTCACCTACCCACCTCCCTACCTACAATTCCACAAGAACCACAACAATGTCCTCCCAACCCCTCCTCCAGTCCGCCCCGGGTAAGCGGATTGCTCTCCCAACTCGCGTTGAACCAAAGGTCCCTCCCCCTCCCTTCTTCAACCCGCTTCCCCAAACTAACACTTCCCTCCACCCCAAAAAAAAGGTCTTCTTCGCCAACGAGCGAACATTCCTCTCCTGGCTCAACTTTACCGTGATCCTCGGCGGCCTGGCCGTAGGCCTGCTCAACTTTGGCGACAAGGTGGGCCGCATATCCGCCGGCCTATTCACCTTTGTGGCGATGGGTACTATGTTGTACGCCCTCGTCACATTCCATTGGCGCGCTGCGGCGATCCGGAAGAGGGGCCAAGGGAGCTTCGATGATCGGTTCGGTCCGACGGTATTGGTGAGTTCCTCGCGATATATATATCGGGGTGCGGGATCGTTGGGGGGATGCTAATGCGTGGGGAGGGGGGTTACAGGCGCTCACTCTGTTCGCGGCTGTTATCGTTAACTTTGTGTTGAGGGTGTTCACTTAATTGCTAGGGCTCGTGCTTGCTTTGATTGTCTGGTTTTATTTTATCTTATTTTAGCTGGGTTGTGTCGTATCGTGCTTTCTATACTTGATCGGTTGATTGACTGAATTGTACCGGATAATTCTTGAAACTGATGAGCGCATTGAAGATCCAGGAGCCGGGAATTGGGAAAGTTTGTATGTACTTGTGCAAATACCTTGACAAGTTAATCTAGGCCTTTTTTGTTCCATTTTTTCCTTTTTCCCTTTTTCCCTTTATAGTATTATAATTATATATTATGACATGTGAGGTCCCAAGTTAGCCCACACCGGTCGCACTGGCCTATGTCCGCCACCCCGACGTACCGTACTGTACGCACGGCACCGAAAGTCCAATGAAAGCCGATTCTCCCACCGTACTATATTCTAACCTAACCCAATCGACACTGCAGGTTACGAGCACTTTTACCGTAACAGACCACAAATTAAGCACTGTACCGTATCAATGCCAGCACAACTTGCCACAACAAAAATACTGTACTAGTACATAGAAATACCATGCGAGTAACGGTATCACACCAAGGATGAACACACCCCACTTTACAGTAAGCAACATGAAACGAATCCAGTCCCCCATATATCAGTACGCTATACCGGTACAATACTAGCACTAGTACCAGTACCAGTACCGGTAAAGCGATGCACAGGATCACCCAGAAGCATAAACAAATGACGGAAAAAGCTCCTTCTCGGACCGGGCAAGCGAGTAATAGCGCAACCAATCTAAAATATGGATGGACCAGTGATGAAACACATGCCGAAGTGACCGGAGTTGCCAATGCTGAGACCGAACCACCAGAGTGTGTATTATCGGCCATTGTAGTAATCTACACCAGTTCAATCCTGTAGTATACAGTAGACCCTTATTTAACCCATTTCCTGTTAGAAAAAAAATGTCATGAAATTCCTGAAGACAATCATTGCTGGGGG